TCGCTTGGCCAATCCAATAAAGTCACGAGACATATAAATATAATTTTCGTCCGCGAATTTTAAATTGGCCTTAAAAGGAGTGTGTGGAGGGCAAAGAAAGATATGGGGGGAAACAGGAAAGGAGTAGAAGAAATGTGTGAGTGTTTGTTTGTGGGTTCATTCTCTTATTTCAAATATACACACTTTTTAGTTAATGTGTAAAATTAATGAATATAAGGGGGAGATAAACAAGGAATAAAATAAAACGACTAGCGAATCTTCAGAATCTGTGGAATTTTCTGATAAAAGTCAAAGAATTGAAGATATCAAAAAATTGAAGATCAATTACTTGGTCAATCGATTGTTGCGATCAGGCCCGTAGCCAGGGGGGGGGTGAGGGGGGGAATTCCCCCCCCCCCCGAAATGGGAAAAAGGAAAAAATTTGGGGAAGGGCTGGGGCAAAAAAGTGAATTTTTTTGGCCTACGGCCTCTGAAATTTAAAAAATTTTCGCCTGCGGCGCTAAAAAAGGAAGAAATCTGGCTTTTTAAGGTCCAAAATCCAAAAAATTTTCGCCTGCGGCGCTGAAAATCAAAATTTTGGCGCCTGCGGCGCCGAAAGAGTGAATTTTTTTGGCCTACGACCTTCTAAAATTCAAAAAATTTTCGCCTGCGGCGCTGAAAATAAAAATTTTTGGCGCCTTCGGCGCCAAAAATTTGGCGCAAAAAAATTCCCCCCCCCCCCCGAAAAAAAATCCTGGCTACGGGCCTGGTTGCGATGGTTTGAAAAAATAATTTTTTGAAAATGAAAAATGAAGTCAAAATATTGGAGAGGTATTAAATTTAAAATAAATTATTTTGGCTTTAAAAAAATTTATTTTTCACTCACGTAAACATAAAATGAAGCAAATTCCTTTTTCTTTCTTTCCCCCTACCCCGACTACTCTCAAAACATTGTTTTGCTTCATCTTGGGAGAAGTAAACACACTCACACATATAAACAAATAAAACCAAATCCAATGAGAAATTCAAAAAATTGTACAAAAATAAATTGAGAGAGAAGAAATTTTATATATGGAAAAATAATAACAGCATTTATTTTTGTTTGTAGGCAGTAATTTAATAATAAATATTATAAAGTCAAAAAAAATTTTTTGGAAGGAAGAGGAATGAAGATTATAAAGTGAAAATAAAATTATAAAAGAATTATAAAAATATTAAACAAAAATTTTTTAAAATTTTCCCCGTAACTAAAAATAGAATTTTAAACAAAAAACATTAAAATCGTGGCAAATAAAGAGAGAATTTTTAAAGGCCATTAATCGGAAGAATTATTAAAAAAATTGAAAAAAAGGTCCAAAAATTATTTTAAATCATAATAAAAAATTTTGATAAAAATGATGGATTATGCGTTGTCAGATTTATTTAAAAATTTTTAAATGTTCGAAAAAATTGAAGAATGAAGAACAGAACAACAAAAGAGCTGACAGATTTGGTATTTTATGTGAAGATCAGAATATATTCTTTTTTATAAAAAATACAAAATTTTAAAGAATATTTACAAGTAACGATGTTTGATCACCTAATATGTGCGTAGCTACAGATAAGAGACAAACAACCAGTTGCTAATTAAAAGAAAAGGAAAATTAATTATATTCACTATAATTATCTATAAAGTAGTTTTGTTTATATACGCGCTCATTAAAAATAATAAAGGATATAAAAATTCTATGATCAAAAGACAGCAATGATCTTTTGTAAATTGATAGCTTAATGACGACAAAAACCAAAGATGTTTTTTGCATTTTATGACCCATTTTCACGTTTGCGAAGAAAAATTAGTACAGATGAGATGATGAATGACGAAGGTAAAAAGGCCCTAAGGCAGAAATTTCTGACGTAATAATGTATACAAATGTCTAGTTTCTTCTAGAATAATCGCGCGTCGATTGAAAAGAATTGTCGCAATTTTTTAAAAGATCAACCACATGGAAAATGGTAGAATATTCGAGAAAAACTACGATTCAAGCAATAAAGTGAAAAATTATTTATGACATTAGAAAATGAATGAGATGAATGAAAAGCAGCCCTCATACCCCCTGCCTGCGGGCCTGATAAAAAGACAAAGACAGACAGAATTGGGACCGCTTACCCTTCCATCCCACCCCAATTTCATATATAAACCTGTACTCCTTTATACATTGGACATGTCAAAAAATTGACGTAACACCACCAGTCTAACAAAAGACCACAAAAACACATTGGAGTTCTCCAGTGATTTCATCAAATAGACGGTTTTCCCGCAAGTGATCTCATCAAATAGACGGTTTTCCCGCAACAATTCACCGGCCTAAAAAATGATCTTAAAACCATAGTAATTAAAAATAACCTCTTAAAAATTTTTATAGCTTCTGGATACTCTCTCAAAGCTAAAAATTAAGTAATTGAAAAGCTCTTAAAAATAAAAAAAACCTATCAAAAGATCAACCATTCAAAACAAACAAATCATTGCATTTAACCAACGGACAGCGAAAAAATAAAATTTTAAAGAAAATACAAATGCAATGTTAAAGCATTTAGAGAAAAAACTAAGAACAAAAGAAAATAAAGCAATAAATTTATAACACCAGGGAATCAACAAAGACTAAAAGTTCAAAACAACAAAGACTGAAATTTTAAATCAAACAAAATAAAATAAAAGCAACATTAAAAGAAACATAAATTTATTAAATTAAATCAAAAATTGAAATTAAACCCAAAAGTTTCCTCATTCTGCGTATCCTTATTATGAGTTGTCTCTCCACGAGCTGGCGAATTAAAATTGAACCCAAAAGAAAAGTTTGATGTAACACCACCAGCTGGAATAATATCATCACCTTCTTCATTACCACCAGTTTGAAAAACATCAATTCCATTAAAATGCATCAGAAGATCATCCTCTTGTTCAATCACAATATTAGCTTGCTCATCATTTGTCCCAGTTTGTATAATATCCGTAACAGACTGAAAGGAAGAAAATTAATTAGAAAATTAAAAATAAAATCAAACTCTATTTGGAGTATTCCTGTGTTTTTCAATTGGATCCGGAGTAAATTTCGATCGCTGAGTAGCTTTCGAAAGATCAGCCGTTGCAGGAGATTGATTGATGACTACAAGCGATCGATTAACAGTAATTGCAGGCGAATGGTTTGTAACAGCAGAATGATTGACAACACGTTCAACATTAGATTCTGGAGCCTTCTCAACAACTTCCTGGACAGTAACAACATCAATTTCCTCGTCTTGATTAATCCCCGGAACCTTTTGAATTGCCTCATGCTCCAAACTTTTTGTCTTTTCCAAAAGCTGTAAATAAAATAAAAAATATTCCTTCAATTTTTTATAAAATCATACCGTTTCCTGAATTTTCAGCTCATTCTTCATTGCATTATCCATTTGTCTCGTCTTATGCAAATAATTCGCCAACGTAACACAAAAATTTTTGAATGGAAGCTGTTTGTGTTTTGCCAATAAATCCTCACGTTCAGAAATAAGTCCATCAGTACGAGAAATTTCATTCTGAAGACGAGCAAGTTCTGTTTCGTGTTGTTTTAATTCTCCCAAAATTGCCTGTTTTTCAGGAAGCCATGGAGCGCGAGCCCTTTGACTATGAAAATCTTCCTTGATCAAATTTAATTCACAAAGTTCCGAGGACAGATCCGCCTGAAAGTACAAATCAAAAGAGATTAATCTCAAATACTAACCGCACTATTACTATCAACAAGCTTTTTAAATTCTCCCATAACAGTCCGCTTACGTTTCAGTTCGGTTTCAACACTAAAAAAGAGGTTTAAATGTAAAATCTAATTCAAAAAGCATACTTATGTTCATGACACACAGCATAATAACGAGCCTTTTCCAAAACCTCAATTTGTTTCTTTTGAGCTTCCATTTTATCCTTCTCCTCTTTTCTTAAACGAAAAAGATATTCCAATTTCTCGCTCATTTCTAAAATAATTGAATCAGCTAAAAGTAGTTAACAATTCTCTTACTTTGTTCAACAATAGTTGCAAATGCAACTTTGGCACGCAAAACTTCCTCATTTTCAACTAAGAATATATTCAGATAAAAAAATTATATTCAAACAAAAATTACCCAAGTTTTGAATCGTTTTGACAATCTCCTCACTCTGACCTTGATCTTGACTCATTTTTTTTTATTAAAAGTTGCAATTAAATTTAATAAACACCTTAAAATTATTAAAAAAATCGGAAGAATTTGAACAAAAAGTTTAACGCCTAACGAAAAAAGAAAACAAAAAATTACAAAAAACCAAAACTATTTAAAGACAAGCTGACTGTTTGCCAACGGACATTTTGTCCGGGAACAATTCGTCAACGGACATTTTGCCCGGGAACAATTCGTCAACGGACATTTTGCCCGGGAACAATTCGTCAACGGACATTTCGCCAAAATTTTTCGTCAGGATTAGAAAGGTAAAATTAAGGAAATAACCCTTTCATTTCTCGAATGTTTTAACGAGCGAAAAATTTTTATTCAAAGATTAAACGTTTAGAAATAATATAAAGAGTTGAATTATTGAGGCATCAGTGTAATTTATATATTCCTTTTAGAAATTTTTACAAATTAAAAAAATTATTGCACTGGCCCCGTTGGCTAGAATATCGCTTAAATTTACAGTCATCTGTCATTTTTTTAATTTAGATTCCAGTGTGTTTATAAGCGATATCCTTACTTCCACATCAATATACATATTTGATTTTTGTTAATTTAATAATACATTAAAAAATTATATATAAGCAACAATTTTTGTGCCGACTAGAATTAAATAAATTCGTTTGTCTTGTGCAATAAGAAAAAAATAAAAATAATAATCATTTTTTAGGAATAAAAAAAAGGAAAAAAAATTAAATATGTAATTGCGTCCTTATATTAGTAAAAAGGGAAAAGAGATTCCCAAGACTTTGCGTCTCATAGTTATTTTTTATTTTTATACCAAAGCACCATTCTTGTATTATTCTTTTCTAGTTAGTATGAAGAAATTCTAATTTGTCAGTAGGTATCACACCATTTCGTAAAACTAATTTTCCATCTTCAGAACCAAGACGTACACATCGTGAATATGGGCCACGTACTGAAATAACGCCAATTTGTTCTCCTTTAAAAGCATTCAAAAGCGTTCCTTTTTTTGTTATATTCTTTGGCTCATCTTCAGAAACATTTTCTTTAACATTACAAATATGCATTGGTGTTGATCGCCTTGAACTACTTCGTGAATGATAAACATGAAGATAATAAGATGTGGCATTTGATTTGCTTCGCGAACTTTAAATTAAAAAAAGTAAAGTTTTAACTCGAAAAAATTAAAAAAAACCTGAGCACTGGAATCATTGATCGTCGCTTTTTTGGAACCGACGCATTTATTTTTTCACCTTCCCCTACGAATGAAATTTTGTTTTTATCGTTCAACAAATTAAAAAAAAACCTTTATTTATCTGGTTGAGTGAAGAGTTTTCATCCTTGACCGCAACAACATTATTTGAATTCAACGTTATCCTTGATGGTAATGACGAGCTTTTTGGAACACGTGAATCACTTGGTAACTTCGCCGCAACACTATCAACAGCAGCATTTCTTTCACAAACTCCCAAAGATGATGTTGTCACTAATGGACGGCGTTTTTTATTGAATTTTTTATTTGACAACAATGATCCTCTTCTATTGCAAAGATTGAGCACTGACAATAATTCTAGATAGTCAATAAAACGAGCAAAAAGGCATCTATATGAAGTATTGGCTCCAAGAAGAAAAGAAGTTTCTACATAAAATTTGCGTAATTGATGTTCCTTCAGCACAATATAAGAAAACCTGAAGAAAAAAAATATTCAAAAAAAAAGTCTACAGAAATTAAATTTGGACAACTTGAATCTTATTGGGGACAAAAAGTTCCCCAGGCTTCAAAGAAAATAAAAAATTACCAGCAATCAACAGAATGAAGCGCAATTAATCCTTGAAAGAAATGACTGACAAGAGAATTTTTTGGCTTCTCTGAAACCTCGAGCTCTTCACATAATTGAAAAATCGACGCTGTGACAGGCCCTAAACAAATTTCTAAATTGATGAATTGAAAAAAATTAATAAACCTTTCCCCGTTAATTGTTTAATAACATCCCATGGTTGAATATTTGAATGAAGACCATCTACAAATAAAGCCTCTAATGCTGCCAACAATACCTAAAAAATATTTTCGTTAAAATAATAACCCAAGAAAGTAACCACAGATGTAGGGGCTCCTCGAACTTGTTCTCCAACACCAGCGACGACGCGCTCAACAATTCCACGTTTTTGCTCATAAATCGGCAAGCCAATAATAGCCAGTTCGCGTTGATGAAGACGTTTAAGTGTATAATTTTCATGTGAAGTTGAAGAACTTCCAATAGGATAAGAAGAGAAAAACAAATCATCAGTAACAGTTGAAGCCAAACAAGTGTTGCTTCTCAAACGATGTCGTTGTGGATTAAATGTTGCGATTGAACTTTTGACACAAGCCTCATTATCGCAACAGCAACAACCATTTTTGTTCTGTTTATGATTCAACAATTTTTGCCATTTATTTTCATAAAATCTTCTTCCAGAACCCATTGTTGAGGCATGGCAACAGTAACAACGTCGTTTATCAATGTTATTATCAGTAACACCCAGAAGGAAACTGTTGGTTTTGAAAAAGGAGCAGGCATCGACTACGTGTCTAAAATTTAAAATTACCTGTCAATCATTAAACAAAAAATTAACCTTGGCAAAAGCACAGAGAGTGAATGCCAATCTTCAATATGTGAAGGTCCTATAAAATTTATAGCTAATCAATTAAAAAGAAAAAGTGTAACAAACCTTCCGAATGTGAAGATCCTAATCCAGAATCAGGTGCTACATCCTCGCAAACATCATCTCTGCCAGCTTCAAAAAGCATCTTTTCTGATGGATAACATTCTAAAACAGCGCCCAGATTTCCTTCTTTTGCTTGTTTCAATAGATCATCGAAAGAAGCTGTAGCGGCAATTGTTGAAGAATTTGTAATTGAAGGAACCTTAAAAAAAGAAATTCTCCAAGGTGTAACTAAAAAAATACTCGTTGGATCAGGAGACTAATTCACGACTAATTTCCTCACAGAACTAGAAAAAGTTACCTTATATGACAATGCAATAAATTGTAAATCTGGCGCAGTTTTGCTTGGAGAAAGATCTGCAAAGGTTCTAGGCATTTCTTTTTTAGTATTGTTTGCCGACGATGTTAATGCCAATGAAGTAGTTTGACGATTGGGTAATTGTTGTTTTTTAGTGTCCTCGCCTTTTTGTATTTTGTTTACAGCATGAAGATTTTGCTTGATGTCATGCTGCTTCATTTGATTTGTGTTATTTGGAGTAAATCCAATCTCTTAAAAAAAAACAACAGTAAAGGAAATAATCATAAAAGATCAGACCATTATGATTCATGTCAATATAGCGTCCATCCCCCAGGTAAAATTCAGAATACTCATTGTTTACATCCTCATTTCCATCATCATTAAAATCAATTTTTGCTTGTGGTCTTCTTGAATTTTGAGAGGGAGCAACTGCTGGTGAAGAGTCTCCTTTGATGAAAGCATTATTTTTACTTTGTTCGTGGTTTCTTCCACTAGCTTTAGAGTGCAAAACAGGCAAACTAAAGTTGATTTTGTTAGAAATTTGATAAAAAAATTTTATTTAACCTGTTAACTTTGTCAGAATCAAAAGCTAGTGGTCGTGAAAGTTGTTCATTAGATTCTGATCCTGCCGCTTCAAAATTACAACCAATTCTTCCCCAGGTTATTGCTGATGGTTTATTATTATTAGAATTCTTGTAGATTTGAGAAAAGCTTGTGCTGCCGTTATTATTGTTAAATAATTCATCTAATATTTTATCTCGCCATTTTTCACTGCCAATCTTTCTCCTTTCGTTGATTTTTGCTGTATCTTCGTCATCAACAGAATTCAATCGTTCCAACAGTCTCAAACTTGGATGATGTTGATTATACGTTGTCTAAAAAATAATACTATTGAAAAAAACTAATTTCATCGCTAACCTGTTCGCCTTCTTTTCCCCTAAAACATCGAAGAGCTTTCCTTGTTTGTAATGCCGTTGGACTTGCACTTGCATTCGTCATAAAACTTGCTCCAATACCACTTGTTGTCCACTGTCCACTATCATCCTCAAAAGTTAATTTGTAGTCATTTTGTTTATTATTTTCACATCTCATTCTAAGCATTTCAATATCCAAAGAATCAGTTGAGACAAGCCGTGGATCACCACCCATAACACTACCAAATAACGCGCTCGTCGTATTGCCGCAATCTTCCATTGTCGACGTTCCAAAGTCTAAATGCGCAACGCGCTCATCAATATTTGGTGGCCAAAAATTGGAATTGTTGTTATCTGTTGTTGCAGCTGTTGTTGATAATAATTTTAGGTTGTAAAGATCACCCATTGAATATAAATTAATAAAAATCTGCGAAAAAAAATCAATAAGACAAAATTTATATTTTTGTAAACAAATTATTATTTGGAATTTAAACGAAAGCTCTCCCTTTGTTTTTGACTAGTGAATGAAGGCTAGCTAAATTTTGAGAAAAGGAGGCTGTCTAACCGAGCATGTGTGCTCCTCTAAAAAGAAGGAATTTGTGAGTTACAAGGATTGTTCACTATTTAACAGCGAGTTGCAAAATGAGGAGAAAAGATGGACTGGTGACCTCCTTTCCTATAGCGCTTAATCCTTTATGGGTAAGCGAGAATCGACAGCTGGAATTTAGTACTACTACTACTCACAAACAAATGCCTTAACAGAGTATAAAAGAGGGATATGGATTTTAGAAGAAGCGTCTTAAAGCATTTCATTCATTTTTAACCAAAGTAGAGAACAAAAAAAGTGAAATGTTTATGACAGAGAATGTAAAACTCGGGCGATATAGTGTGGTAAAAATTAGGGGAAACTCATGCGTGCGTCGCTCAATAAATTATATAAAAATGAGCGGAAAACATTTATGAAAAGGATAAACAAGGGGACCATATCAATTTTCATTACAAACCTTGTCCAAAATTAGTGTAAATTTTTCTTCAATAATTTTTACCTAAATAAAATTTAAAAGAAAATTATTTGTCAAATTAAATTTAAAAAAAATCTAGTCAAAATCTCGATTGTAGCGAATTTTTCAGAATTAAATTTACCAAAAAATTTCGAGTTTTATTTAAAAATAAATGATGAATACAGGAAAGATATTTCAGGAGATCTTAATAAAGCTAATGATAAAATTATTAATGAAATATAAATTTTGATTGAAGGAATTCTATTAATACCACTGATTCCTCTATTTAGTTGCATTTCTTCTTTAACATCTTCCATTGAAATCTCTTGTCCATAATTAACTGTAGTTGAACGACCGTCGGGGCAAATACGGGACCTCTGTTCTAAGTAGAACGTATAGAAAAATATAAGAAACTTAAATAAACCTCCAGTAATTCCAGCTACCGCTTGAGCTTCCTCCAGCAATCTACAAAGTTTTCCGTGCACATCTACATAAATACGATGACTCGTGCCAGTAGCAATTTCCTCGCTTAGAATCAAAGATCTAAAGAGATTAATTGACAAAGTTATATAAAACAAAAATTATACTTTCTCGTTATCCGATTATATTTTGGCCAAAATTCTACAGGTTCCCTAAAAACAAATATTTCAAACTTTATACTATAAAGATTAAACAAACCCAGTTCGCGCAAAATGTCCCCAAAACTCCATAATTTTTGTAGAAAATGATATTTCCAATTCCAATTCTGACGGATCGTAAAGGTGAGGGCTTCTCAAAGGCAATCCGAACACATATTCTAATATAAAATTTTTAACTATTGAATGACAAAAATTTAAAACAAGTAATACCAATTTCGTAGCCATGCATTGCTCCCATCCATTGTGGCCAAGGATTTGCCTATAATTTAAATTAATCAAAATATTAAAAAAATAAACCGATGATCGCCTCGTGAAATAAAAACTGTAGACAGAACCATACAATTCATCAGAGCTAAATATTTTAAATAAATTAATTTAGCATTTTTCAAACAAACACAATATCAGCAAACTCAATACTATCACAAGTGAAGAAACTAAATTTTAAATTAAAAAAAAAAAAAACAAAAAATCCAAGTTTACTTACTAATCACCCAGAAAACGTGCAACACCATCCCGCCATATTTGTTCTTGCTTATCTGTAGGCAGATGTGAATATGCGTGCATAAGTGCATGACGTACCAACTTACAAAAAAAATAAAAATTTTTTTTCATTATTTACTTACTGCTGACTTACATTTGAATTGCCAAAATAAGGAAGAAATGCATCAAAAGCTTTGCTGTAATCTGCTCTAATTATTAGAAAAATCTTTAAAAAATTATTTTTAAATCTTACTCAGTTATCAATGCCTGGTTTATATGATCCTCAGGAGATATTGTATGGTTAAAGCCAAACCCGTTTTTTTGTAAACAATAGGGCAACCTACACAAAAAAGGTTAAAATTTAAAAGCTCATGGTAACAAGAAAACCAACCAGTAAGTTCCTTCATCTCGTACAGTCCCCTAAACATTCAAAAACATTAAAAATAAAAAAATAAAAAAAAAATACCACAAGAATGCTAACATCACGTTTGAAATCTTTTCGGCGCAATTTGTCGAAGACATTACCACGAAAGAAGTGCGTATCTTCATCTTTTAAAAATAAAAAATAACCAAAGAATAAACAATAAAATTGAACCTATTGGAACAAATGCAAAATCCATTGGGAGGCTTAACGATTGAGAAACAGCATCACCAGCCCGTTGAATAATTGCTGTTGGTACACGTTTTATACATTCCACTATATTCTGCATCCTATTAAAATAAAAAAATTTTAAGTTTAAAAATTATTTTTACGCTTTAGTAGAGTTATTTCCATTGCTGCAATTCAAATGATGCGCCAATTGCAGAGAAAGTTGAAGGATGGAAGCTTTTGGCTTTGTAGCCCAATTATTAATGATTGACCCACTTTGTGCAATAATGCGCGAAAAAAGAGAATAACTACAGAAAATTTAAAACAATATTCTATCAAAAAAACCTTCCATCAGCAAACATATGTGCCATTGCTGAAGCACTACCCGCACTCTCACCTATGATGTAAGATTATTACACGTGAAAAATTATAAAATTACCGAAAAGAGTAACACGCCGAGGATCGCCACCAAAATGGGCAATATGTTCATGTATCCATTTCAAAGCCATTTGTTGGTCCTGTAGTCCCATATTGCCAGGAACTGATGTATCATCCCCAAAATACAAAAATCCAAAAGGGCCTAACCGATAATTGATATTGATAACAACTGAAAATTTCGGCTTAAAATTACTGAATAAAAGTACCTGCACGCTCTTGAACAGCCAAAACTCGCCCATCGTATAAATCAAGAGAAGGAGAGCCCGAGTAAAATCCACCTCCATAAATCCACACAAGAACTAAAATAAAAAATCTGAAAGATTAAAGGCTAAAAAGGTAAATAACATCTAATTAAATATATACACACCAGTGCCATCGTGATGCTCAGGAACCCAAATATTCATAGCAAGGCAATCCTCGTCAATATCGTTAGGCGGATTCCACATTTCTGCACCAGGAAAATCTGGAAACATGGTATCTGAAATTAAAAAAATATTTACGAATAAAGGAAAAAATTATGAAAACCTCTGGAAAAGAAACATGTTCTAGCTGGTTTATCTGCTCGGAATTCTCCTTCCCAAGGTTCAATCTGAAATAAAATCATCACTTTAATCAAATTTTGTTGAAATGTTAGTAAACATGTTTTTTTTAAACTGACCATTTCAGGAAGCCCAAATCGACCTGAACCAGTTGGCCTGAAAATTTGAATAAATATTACTTTAAAATGCTTCTAGCAAACCTTTTTGCATACGGAACGCCCAGAAACGTATGGACAGATTTTCCATCAAACTTCTATAAAATAGATTTAGATAAATTAAAAAGTACTCAAAACCTGTTTAAACCCAATAATTTTTCCTAAAGTAGTTTGAATTAGAACATCCGTTAGAGCAACAGGTGGAGAACGTCCATGAACAGAAGAGCAATAAACAATTAGGCAGAAAAAACAACAAAATAAAAAAGTAAGGCAAGAATGTGAAGAAAATTTAAAATAAAGACGAAGAAGTTCACTTGTGTTGATAGAAAAAGCTGTTGTTTTTCTTCTTCGTTTACGCATAATTCGCCTAAAAAAGAAAATAAAAAAAGTAGATTAATTCATTAAAAAAATTTTTTTAACGTGCGAAAGGGCGGCAATACTAGCGGTGTCCTTTTAATGAAAAAAATAATGGCGCTGAGGACAAATAAATAAAAAAAGCAAAAAGAGAATAGAGTTCTACTACCCCATTGTATATGAGGTAGAGCAGAATTGATGTTGCCCTCGGAAAGAGCTTTATGGGGTGAATTACTTCTCTAATTGGCGTAAAAATTCAATGTGCTGTCAGTGCACGACTCGTAAAAAATCCACTTTATATTGCCCATGCATGACAATAATATAATTAAAAAGTGCGCAATTTTATTATTTTAATAAAAAAAAAGGAAAATCCGTTATCGGAAGTATTAAAGTATGTAATCTAGAAAGGCAGATTTGAGCATTTAGAAAATGGTTAGAGAAAGAATTATGTAAATGGATATATAGTAAATGTAATTGGTTGGAGTAAAATAAATTTAGCTAATTGCTTTTTTGTTTGGCAAGAAAAGAGAAAACATAAAAAATATATAAATAAAGACCAAGGATTTAATTTAGCACAAATAATAGAGTAGAATGGATACTAATTTGAAAAATTAAAAGAATGATGGTTTAAAAAAGAAAGGTAAACTTTTAAAAATGTTTAAGATTAATGAAAACTTTGTAAAAATTTAAATTGTAAAAAGTTTAAACAAAAACATTCACCGTCTAATAAGGCAAATGGAATAGACTTGACGTAAGCAATGCCAAAAACATAAAATATGAAAAATTCATTTACAACTTTTTTAAAAGAAAAAAAAGAAAGGAATAAATGCTTTTGTTTTAGACAAGTTTCCAAAATATCGGAATTTATTGTAAAAGTTAAAACGTGGCTTTTTAATTCTGGATTATTTACTAGTAAAATGACATTTTTGTTGTCAATAAATAAGAGTGAAAAATGAAAAATGGAAGAAAGAAATGAAAAATGATGACAAGTGTCCAATATTTTTTTTAACTTGTATAAAAATGAGCAAAGAATGTCGATTAAAAAGAAAACTAAACATTAAAGAAGACATTTGAACTTTAAAATTCGAAATTCCCATATTAAATAAATTTAAGATGTTTATTTTTTGTTCGCTAGTTTAAAAAATACACGGATATTTGTGGGAGGTACAGCCCAAGTAGGCGCGCGGCCAAGTAGGCGCAAAGCCATAACTTGCTTCAAGATTTTCGAATCTTTCGAAATTTAGTATTAAACGATTCCTCTCATCGAGCTAAAGAGATTGGTACAAAAATTGATAAGTTCCGGAAATTTTCCAGCAAGTTATGGCTTTGCGCCTACATGGCCGCGCGCCTACTTGGGCGTGTCCCTTGTGGGAAAAGCATATACCGTATTTATTCTAATAGAATGGCCGCCACTCTATTTTTCGATACCCCCAAAAAGGGGCCATTCTATTGGAGGGGCCATTCTAATGGAGGTGGCCATTCTATTTTTCATAGGTAAAAATCAAAAATTGGATGAATCTAATGTCCAATCGAATATTTTTCGACTTCGAAATTTAATCGATTTTTCTTGTAAAATTCTATATTTTCGACTTTGGTTAGTGAATCTTTCTTTTCGTAACACTATAAAACAGGCCCGTAGCCAGGATTTTTTTTCGGGGGGGGGGGGGGGGGGGGGGGGGGGGATTTTTTGCGCCAAATTTTTGGCGCCGAAGGCGCCAAAAATTTTTATTTTCAGCGCCGCAGGCGAAAATTTTGAGAATTTTATAAGGCCGTAGGCCAAAAAAATTCAATTTTTCGGCGCCGCAGGCGCCAAAAATTTGATTTTCAGCGCCGCAGGCGAAAATTTTTTGAATTTTGGACCTCAAGAAGCTAGATTTCTTCCTTTTTTAGCGCCGCAGGCGAAAATTTTTTAAATTTCAGAGGCCGTAGGCCAAAAAAATTCACTTTTTTTGCCCCAGCCCTTCCCCAAATTTTTTCCTTTTTCCCATTTCGGGGGGGGGGGAATTCCCCCCCTCACCCCCCCCCTGGCTACGGGCCTGCTATAAAACATAAATGTCTTTTGCCTGCTAGGCAAAAAGGCAACTTTTTATGTACTTCGGTGCCATATAATCAAAATTTCCGGTACATTGGCTCCCAAAATTTTGTGGGATCTTGGAATTTGGACGTAATATATTGGAATCGGAAGAGATTCTGAGGGTTATTGATGAATTTGAACGATATTCCTATAAATCCTATGTATCCCAGCATGTTCTCTGATAAATCTAATCTATCCAATCCATGAATATCTAACATTAATTCTCTTAATTCCTTGATATGTAGTATTTATCTTCAGTAAATCGTTGTAATTTCGTAATATCACTTCTAATCCTCTCAAATCCCCTAATATCCCTCTTAATCTCCCTTTTATTACTCCAGATTTGCTCAAAAATATTACGATTATCCTAACTAAAGAGTACTATTTAACAGGTAATAAGAAAATAAAGAAATGTATTAGGTATATGTTTTGTAGTTAAAAGGGCCATTCTATTGGAGGGGCCATTCAAATAGAGGTGGCCACTCTATTTTTCGATACCCCCAAAAAGGGGCCATTCTATTGGAGGGGCCATTCTAATGGAGGGGCCATTTTATTAGAATAAATACGGTAATCTTTCTAAAAAATAAAGACGAGAATGGAAGCTCTAATTTCAATTTGTGCATAACGCAAACGATTTTCTCAAAAAAACTATTGATCTCTGACAATTTCAAACATTCAGGTTAGAATAAGAGTTCGAAACAAATAAAGAGTAAAGTTAGCTAAAAACTTATTTTTTCAAAAAAGAATCCTGGAAATAAATGAAACCATTCTCAACAGTTTCCGCTGCCCACTGAGAAAATTTCAAAGGCATAAACAGAGGGCGCAGTTTTATAAATTTTAAAAAATACCAAATTGCGGAAGAAAAAACTCCTCCTTCACAGTACCAAAAGAATGGAAGAGAACAACAATTGAAGGAATTGCATTAGTTTGCCTAAGACAGTCAAGCAGCGAACACAAAGATGTTAGGAATGAATGCTGCTTGTTTTCCTCGTCTGCAATGTTACCTTCCTCGTCTATTATGACAAAAACTGAGCGTAGTAAATCAACTAAAGTAAACGGTCTTGAGGCTATCTTACTGAGAAACTACAGAAGACAAACGGCCAATTACGGACCCTGAAGTACCCGGTCTTAAACCTATCTAACAGAGAAACATGAGAAAAATGGGTCATCACGGAACCCGAAGTAACACTGTCTTGAATCTTATCTAACAGATAAACCAGAGAGAGAAACAAACGGGCCGTCCCCGGAAAATAAAGTACACGGTATTGAATCTTATCCCACAAAGAGAACCAGAGAGGACAAACTGGCCAATTACGGACTCTGAAGTATCACGGTCTTGAATCTTATCTCACGGAGAACCTAGAGAGGGGTCCACGGAATCTGAAGTACTCGATCTTGAATCTTGTGTCATAAGGCTAGCCAGATAACCAGAGACATACGGGGCAATCCCAGAAGCTTTTATTGACCCTGAACAATACCCAAACTTAAATCACAAACCTCATTAACCTCGACAACTTTCTTAACAATCTTTTGAGAATTAGCAGAGCCAAACAAAATATTGAGTTGACCTCCCTCAAGATAAGGTTCCAGTGATTTTGAAATCTTCGTTCCATCTTTAGGCGAAACCAAAGCAAAGAGTTGTCTGTTCTCATTAGTAGATCGACCAGCTTTCAGTAAATGAAGAGCAAAACTGGTAGCAACTTGATTAGTTGAATTTAAAGTTGGAGTAATTAGGAGAGTAGTCATTTTAGTAGCTAAAAGATAGTTAATGTTAAAATCTGAAAAAGTATTCAATTAAACATGCGAAAGATTAAAAATCAATCAAATTCTGTTGAAAAAGAAGGAAATACGCGCAAAATTAAAACAAATGATCTCGATCGGAGTTAAAAAATGGGTTAAGGTAAATGAAGAAAAAGTTGTTGAAGATGAATGTGTGCAAGACTCAAATGGTGTAAGACTCAAATGTACCTAATTTAAATGGGATGAATTGACATTAAACAGAATGCCAAAAATAAAATCGATAAAAACACGGCAGAGAGATCGGTAACGAAAATCAATAAACGACCCCTCTGCCCTCTCCAGGCTTTTCCCCACAAAACTTCCCCCCCTCCCAAATGAACTAAAAACCTCCAAAAACTGATTCCATCCATTGAAGCACATTCTGCTTTGTCCATACCATCCATACCACTGGTTGAGCTAAAACTTTCAAAAAATCGTGAAATCAAGAAAATTGAAAAAAAAACAAAGACAAAAGAGACAAGGACAAAAAAAACAAGAAAATGAAGAAAGGGTGGGGTCATTCGTCGCACATTTTTAGCATTGCAATTTTTCATTTAAAAAATTTGAAGATTTACCGGGCCAAGGGTTGATCAGGAAGAGCATGTAGACGAGGACGAGCATGTAGACGACCACCACCACCACCAGTGCATGGAGTAGAACGAACCTGGCTAAAAATCACCCCCTCCCATTATAAATTTTATTAATTTTTATTTTTTAATAAAAAAACCACACCCGACCATATTCCACCAACACCACCAAGAGCATGAAGAGAGCCACCAACCACCACCACAAGCATGAAGAGAGCCACCACCACCAAAAGCATGTTGAGAACCACCAAACCACCACCACAAGCATGAAGAGAGCCACCAACCACCAAAAGCATGTTGAGAGCCACCAAACCACCACCAGAAGCAAAACTTTTTAAAAAAATTAAAAAAAAAATTTTTTTATTAAAAAAACAGGCCACCAGACCACCACCATGAAGGCCATCAGCATATTCTCCAAAGGCCACCACACGAAGAACAAACATAAAAATAAAAAAATTTTATTTTTAAATTAAAAAGTTCAAAATAAACTAGGAAAAAACCCACCGTTTGGATGAAGCCATCCAGTCAGGGCCACCACATACCACCATGTAGAGCACGGTCGAAGGCGCCTAACAAATTAAAAAAATTTCAAACTCAAATTAAAAAAACAAAAAAAGCAAATTAAACCGGCCAGCCATCCAGAAGAAGCATGTGCAGACGTCGGGACTGGCCTTCAATTTGAAAAAATTTAGATTTTTTAGAAAATTTTTAAAAATTTTTTTAGCAATTTTTAAGCGCGCGCAGCATTGGGGTCAACGAATAAACGAATAAAAATTAAAAAACAGATGATATAAATGAAAAAATGAAAAAAAAAATAACAAAAAAGCGTAATCTCCGGAGATTAACGAAAACCGATACAAATCCAGATTTCGGAAAAAAGTGACGCCAAAAACACTTGAACATAAAATTTGCGCAACAATACAAAATTAACTTTGTTAAATTTCATCTTGGTAAATGTTAAAGTATCAACTATTGTTATTTTGTCGATTACTCAAAACAATTGAAAAATCAGATTTTTCATAGCCTAAAAAATTTAAAAATTTAGATTTCAACGTGTGAAAATGTTTTTTGGAAGGAAATATTCCAGCGAATGCTAGTGCTTTACAGGAAAAACCTGAATTTTTATTTTAGACACAATCTCAGCTTGAATTTGATCAACTTATCACAATTAATGTTCTACTTTCATTTTATATTTTTCAATCTTCTTGCTTTCAACTCAGGTATTTTTCAAATTTATCTAAAGACGAGGTTATTTTTTTACTTTGATTTACCTATTTATTTAAGCTTTACTTTTAGTATTTTGCCTTAATATATATCTCGATACCTATGAACAACTCAGTTATAAACCTGTTCAATTTCGACGTAGCCGTGAATTAAACAGTCATTCTACTACGGATGTTAAATTCAGATCTCATACATACAACAGGTTTCTTTTATATACTATTTGTTAATTTCTGACCCACCCTTTCATTTTCTAGAACATTTCATTTAAAACTCCAACCATTAAATTTTAATAAAAATGTATTTGATGATAGCCATATCATTGATGTCGACGGTATTTACCATTCTAATGTGATAAGGCCTTCTGACTTCATTTATGAAGGATATCTTGATGGTATATTTAACTTCTATGACTTAATTTAGTCTAATTTTTATTACAATCTTTAAGGTGACCCAAACTCATTAGTTTATGGCACATTGCTTGATGGCATATTCGATGGTTATATAACAACCGGTGATGGAAAAACATTCACTGTCGAAAAAGCCAATAGATATTTCGACATTGGTCAACGGCCGATTCATTTCCATTCGATTGTATACGCAGATGAACATATTACTCATAATCGTTTTATAAAGAAGGACCCTAATAGCGGTTTATTTCAGATTACTTTTAGATCATAGAATTTTTCTTTTAGGCGCTCATCACAGCTGTGCGCTGACAAAGAAACTACACCAAGATATGAGAAAATTTCAACAATCAGCAATTGACGATGAATATATTCTCACCGAAAATAATTTGAATAATCTGACTATCCTTGATCTTGAGTTTGAGCGAATGCATAATAGTTTTAATCAAAGGTTTTACAGTGGATTTTTTATTCATTTATAGTATTTTTTTAAAGGTATTATACAGCTAATAGAACAAAACGTTCAATCAAAACCGATTGGAAAGATGTTGGCGGTCGAAGGTTTTTACATTAGATTTGCTTAAATTTTTTCTCAATTTTCAGAGTTTATGAGGCGCGTACATGTACTATATATCTTCAAGCTGATCACAAATTATATGAGCACATCTATAACAAGGAAGGGAATGGCGATCATATCAGGTTATATTTTCGGCTTTATTTGTGATGGTCCGTATTTTAGAACTCGTGAGGAAATTGTTGCTCTCCTTTACACTCATATCAAGGCTGTAAACCAAATTTACGAAAGTACCAATTTTAATGGAATTCATGGAATCAATTTTGCAATCAAGCGAACTACAATTTATACGCCATCAACTTGCAAGGGCGAAAGAGCAGCAACTACAGGGAATCCTTTTTGTGAGGAGAATGTTGACGTGTCAAACTACTTGAATATGAACTCGCAAAAAGATCATAGTGCTTTTTGTCTGGCTTATTCCTTAACTTATCGGGATTTTATTGGTGGAACTTTGGGTTTAGCATGGGTCGCATCACCTTCTCAAAGTATTATTTTTTCTTAAAGGTTATACTCGAATTCCCTTTTAGGTACGGCTGGTGGAATCTGCCAAAAATATCAACGTTACAACGAACATCAGCGTGGCGGTGTTAGCCGTTCATTAAATACAGGAATCATTACACTAGTCAATTATGGTAATCGAGTTCCGCCTCGTGTTTCACAGTTAACACTAGCGCACGAGATTGGTCACAATTTTGGTTCACCTGTATGTTTTGTATCGATTTTTTAAAATTATTTCTTTTAGCATGATTTTCCATTAGAGTGTCAGCCTGGTCTTCCTGATGGAAATTTTATTATGTTTGCTTCAGCAACTTCTGGTTTTTTTTTATCTACTCTATTTAGGACTATTCTATTTAGGTGACAAGCCTAATAACTCAAAATTTTCACAATGTTCAATTGCAAATATTAGTGAAGTCTTATTCGAGGTTCTTGGACAGGTTTGCTAACATTTTAACTGGATTACTTATTCCTTTAATTTAATTTTCAGAGTCCGAAAGCTTTCACACTTGGGAGGAAAAAGAATTGTTTTACGGATCGTAAGCACAATTTTTATCTTTTATGACTCATTGATTTTTACAAACAGAGTTGAAATCATTCTGTGGCAATCAAATCAAAGAGGATGACGAGCAATGTGATTGTGGTTTTACAGCTTTAGATTGTCAGGAGATGGGAGATCGATGTTGTACTCCAAGAGAGGGAGCTACTGAGTTAGTTTAAATTGCCAATTTTATTTTTTACTGATTTAAACATTTTCATGTCTACAATGTGTCGCAGAAAGCCTGGCAAACTTTGCAGTCCTTCTGAAGGATTATGTTGTAATCCGGACAATTGCTCATTTTATGCCGGTGGTGATCGCCGTCCTTGTCGTGTAATTTACTGATTTTTATTTTCATACATTAATCCCATTTTTAGGAAGATTCAGAGTGTCAACATCGTCAATTTTGTGATGGTTCTAGAGCTAGTTGTCCACCTAGCAATCACAAGCCAAACGGGAAGCCTTGTCAAGATAGCACAAAGGTATTTGCTTATTTCTAGTCATCTTCGTAATCTTTCTTAATTCAGGTTTGTCATCAAGGAAGCTGTAATGGTTCTTTATGTGCACATTACAACTTGCGAGATTGTTTCTTGACCGAAGGCAGGCCTGAAGACCTTTGTCAGCTTGCTTGTGAAAAGAATGGCGGTTATTTTTCTTCCTTGTAAATTTGTTCAAACTAGTTTTATTTTAGTATGTCTTCCTTCTGTGAGTCTTCCAGAGTTGGCGCTTGCAAATTTATCACAGGAGGGTCGAAGCGCAGGCTTCTTACTTCTTCCTCCGGGCTCGCCATGTAATAATTATTTGGTATATATTTACATTTTTTATTTGGTATATATTTACATTTTTAGCAAAAATTTACATTTTTGCTAAATTATTTTATTAATCTTAATTAAGGGTTATTGCGATATATTTCGAAAATGTCGTTCAGTCGATTCAAATGGGCCTTTAGCACGCTTGAAGAATTTACTTTTTAATCGTGAGGCAATTAAGGAGTTTACTCAACTTGTCAAGGTTTTTTTGTTGAAAATATCTTTAATCGTTTATCAATTAAAGGAAAATTGGTGGGGCTGCGTCTTTGTCGGAATCGTAGTTCTCATGTTCATGGCTTTGTTTGTCAAATGTTGCGCCGGTTTCTTTAAAAGCAATTTTAGTGATACATTTTGTCTTATTTTAGTCCACACACCAAGTACAAATCCAAACAAGTTGCCCCCTGCAAATTTTTCTGATACTTTACGTCATCCTGGCACTCTACTGGTAATAATTATTTGAAAATTTTTAGATTTTATATTTTCTTTAGCGCCGTGGTCATGGTGGAGTACCTAATAATCGACCTGCGATGTCTCACAATCGACCTGTGCCTCAACGCAATGAACGAGAGAGACCATCACGCTCAACAAACAATCACTCACGTTCAGCTCCCGCAACTTCCAGAGGTGACCTTGTTCCTCGTTCCGTGGTTGCTGTTCCTGAAGTTGCGAATGTTACTTCTAGAAGTTCTGCTTTGGTCGCAGAAACTCCTTTGATTCAGTCAAATTCAGTAAGAAAAGATTTTCAGTGCTTGTAATGCAAAAATACTTTTCTAGATTGCCGTACCTTCTGCAGATCCTCCACCTCCATATGAACTGACTGATCCCGCGCCTTCAATTAGTGCTCAAGTGCCAATTTCGACTGATCAAACTGCTTCACTATCAAACACACAACCTGTCAATTCGTTAGAAGGCTGCTCTATTATAAATCAATGCGAACCTTTGCCAATACGTTTGCCTAATGCACCTCCTCCAGTTTTAACTACAGGTTGTTCAGTCCTCCCTCTCATTCCAGGTCCTCCAATAAATAGTGATAGCCAATGTGGCCCTAGGCCCGGGCGTCGAAAACCTAAACCGTTACCGCAGCAGATTAAACAACAACAACGAAAGAAGGAATCAGTGCCACTATCCAACGATAAACGTTATAAAAGGCAAGCCAAATAAATTCATGATTGTCTTTCATCTTTTCTAGATGAAATTTGAGGCTTATAACTTTTAAATCTTGTCAAGTTACTTAGGATAGAACTTTAAAAGTCTGGAATTTTAATTTTCAGATAGAAAAGTTGTAAGCTTTAAATTTTCATGCCACTTGCCTTTCCTGCCACTTTATTAATAAGCAATAATATTACAACAATTTCGAACAAAAAGACAGTATTTAATGTATGTTTTATTGTTGCCATCCTTGTTTTTATTTTTGTAAATTACAATTTACAATGCTCACTTAAACGATGAGTCTTTATAATTTATTGTTATAATCTCATTTAAACCAAAAACCATTCTTATGCCTAAAACGGATTATTAATTCCAGTTCTTTCTTACCTATACAATTTGTATATTTTTTTTTAAATTTTCGCACATTCTTAATTTGTGAATCTGCAAAATGACCATTTTATAAAATATATTGCATTTATATCATGTACCTTAAGTATCTTTTTGTATAAATCTGTATATTATTTTGTGAATACAATTGAAGTTCTTTTGCTTCTAAATACTTTTAAAATTCATTAATTAATATTTTATCATTTTTTTAGATTTTAGACATCAAAACTTTTAGAAACAACAAATAAATAATGGTTAATCCAAAAGGTTATCGTCGTGGAACTCGTTATATGTTTGCTCGACCTTTCCGTCGACATGGAATTGAGCCACTCTCTACATTCTATAGAGTTTATAAGCGTGGAGACATTGTTACTGTTAAGGGAAATGGAGCTTTTCAGAAGGGAATGCCTCATAAAGCATATCATGGAAAAACAGGTCAGGGATTTTTTAAATTTATCAAATTACTTTTATTTATATTTGTAGGCAAAGTTTTCAACGTGACTAAACATGCGCTCGGCGTTATTGTCAACAAACGTGTTAGGTATTCCTTTAATTTGTAAGATGTAATTATTTCTATAATTAAGGAATCGCATCATTCCAAAGCGTATTAATGTTCGTGTGGAGCATGTTAAACCTTCTGGTTCGCGTTCCGAGTTTTTGAAGCGATGCAAGGAGAATGACCAACAAAAGCGTGATTTTAAAGAAGGAAAGGCTAAATTTGTTCCGCTTAAACGTCAGTTTAAAAATTAGTTTTAAATATAAATAAATCAAAAATCCCTTAGGTAAACCGCAAGAGCCACGTAGTGCACATCTGGTAAAAGTGCGAAAAGCTTTGCAAATTGAAATGTTGGCTCCTGTCAGATTCGAAATTGTTGCTTAGAAAGATGAGGGCATGAATAATCACAAGATTTACGTTTATTTTGTGTTTTGTTGCTTTTTTCCATTGTTATAATATGACCGATAAAATTGTTACTCTAAATATTCTATATTTTTTGCTTAGGATTCTAACCATTATTAATTTTATATAATTAAAATTTAGAGCTTTGTCAATATCAGTTATAGATTTACTCGCAAACTCGAAGTATGGGTTACGGATTAAAACCACTTCTTATCTCCGCCTCTATGGACAGCACGATTAGACTTTGGGATGTGGCAACGCAAATGCAATTGGAAGCATTACATTATAAGGTTAATGAGGATTAATTGTCGAATCTGTATTAAATATAAGAGGTTTTTCTTTTGTTTAACAAGAAAATTTTCAAGGAATCTCAAGTGAATACGATGTGTATTACTCCGGATGGTGCGCAATTTTTAATTGGTGGTTGGCAGAATTTGCGTATATATGATCTCAACTGTCTTACAAATTCAGGATTGCATAATTCAGCGTAAGCGTTTTGATTTTGTTATTAAATTATTTTTTCTTTCAAGGGTTCATGAGAAGAACATTACATCTGTCGGATTCCAAAGTGATGGCGTTTGGTTGTATACCGGTGGTGAAGATTGCATGGCAAAGGTTTTGCATTTTTTCCATATTCTTTAAAATTATAATCCCAGATTTGGGACATGCGTATCAATCAACTTAATTGTCAGCGTATATTTCAAGTTTGCATTCTTATATTTTTATTTATTGATGTTAGGTAAATACACCAGTTCACTCAATTGCTCTTCATCCAAATCAAATTGAATTGTTAATTTCTGACGCAACTGGAGCTGTTTATATTTGGGATTTGCGATCTGATCGAGATGATACATTGTCTACTGAAGTTGATGTTTCTGAATATGTATTATTTTAAAAAGGTTCATTTTTCTACTTGTCTTTTTTAGATTGTGCACATTGACATAGATAGATTAGGTCGACAATGTGCAGCCGTCACGAATAGAGGAAATCTTTTCTTTTGGGAGATTAACCATAAAGGCGGCGGGTTGGCTAAAACAATTCCACATCTTGATGCCACTGCTGAAATTGGATCAACGCAAAAGCTTCAAAGGCAAACGACCCCCCAAGAATTAAAGGAAGATGAATCGACAACGGTAGTTTTTCTGTTTTCTAAAATTTTACAGCTTTTTTCCAATTTAGGAATTTTACTCAAGTTCAATGATTGACACAGGCCTTCCTCCTATTGCACCGCCACCTCTATCAGAAATGGGTGGAGATGGTAGCGCTTTCTATGTGCCTGCTCCTCGACGAAAACAAAGATATGGCGCAAAAGAAGTACCACAATCTGAACTAGGAGAAGAAAATGAAGAATTGAAGCAAATTGAACAAGGTTTTCATATTAATTGATTATCATAAATATTTTAATTTTAGAAATGTTGAAAAATCCATCTATGACTGTTACACCCCCACATCGTTCATCTCTTCCAGTAGATTTAATAAGCAATGCAAAATATCGAATGAAGTTGCGTGCGCATAAATCATTTGCATTAAAATGTAGGTACCGGCCAGACAGGTTTTTTAAATTTGTTGATGTTATATTCATGTCTCAATTATTTTTATTAGCTTGGCAATAGCAACATGTTCAGCTGATCAGACAACTAAATTGTGGAGCGTTAGCGATCATAATTTGGTATGATTAAATTTTTTATATTGTTAGTTAAAGAAAAATACGGAATCCTGAAGACTTATTGACCCTGAAGACCTGCAAATGTTGACCTTTAATCCCATCAAATCCGTGCTTCCCCAAAATTTCTCCAAATCCCTCGATATTCTTTTTCAAAAGTTGCTGTTCTTCATGGTCAATAGGTCTTCAGGGGTTTTAAATTTTTTTGAATAACTCAAAATTTTAGTTAAGCACATATGCAGCTCCAAATAGTAAATGGGTCTGGGATTGCGCTTTTACTAATGATTCAGCTGTAAGAAATTTTATTATTTTTAATCAATGATTGTTAAAATTTCTTTAGTACATGCTGACAGCTTCATCTGATGGAATCATTCGTATGTGGGAATTGGCGTCAAGTTCAGTTGTTCAAATGTATCAGGGTCATTCATTGGGTATTACTTGTATGGCTTTTAAAGATTTTAGTTGAAATTTTCTTTTTAATATATTTTTCATATTTTTAATATGTAATGTATAATCCATATGTCAAAATAAAATATTTATTCAAAACTGATCTTATTTAGTTTAAGATTTTCTGCGAGTCGTAAAGTATTCTCCTGAATTTAAGTGGTAATGTATTTCCCTGAATTTAAGTAGAATAGTATTTTCCTGCATTTTTCCGTTTCATGCTTTTGAGGATTGTGTTTCGATTGTTCGTAAAGTTATTAAATTTTATTTTTGCATTCTCTCTTTACAACCATTACTTACTATTTCTCTTGGTATAGAAAAAAAGGAAAGTGAGATAGTACACTTGTTTTAAGGAATTTCTTATTCATGCTTGGATTTTGCATATTTTCGTACGTTTTTGCAAATTTTCATGTTAGCTTTATTTACGTGAAGGAATTTTATTTAATCTTTTCTTTTAGAAATTTTGACAAATGTTCACTTGGAAGAAACCTCAAGATTTTCACTCTTCGCTTCAGCGGTTTGCAGATGTTGGTCGTGATGCTGGTTCAAGAGCAAAACATTTCAAGTTGATTTTTGAGAATCTTACAATTGAAGTAAGGTTTGATTTTATAGTGCAACAAACATTAGTTTTTGTTCATAATCTTTGTTATTTTGTCATTTTCAGGAAAAAAGGCAGTTGATCGAGAGTTTTGGATTTGAAATTTATCATTTGATTGATTCACTTATGCTTTGCCATTATGGACAACTAATTGAACAACAAACAATTGCTGATGTTACTGGTATTAATTTTATTTTTTAGTTTATTTTGTGCTGAATTTTGGTTCACAAATAAGATTAATGTTTAGATAGAAGTTGAAAGGAGGGGATAATTTTTATTGTTTAGGTTATATTCATCAGAAATTTTTGAAAAAATTTTCTTTTTTAAATTCCATTTTACCCCAATTAAAATTATGCAGCTGCAACTTATACGACCGCGTTAGACATACTTGAACAAGTTTTACTAAATGCTCCGGAGTTTGTTGGAATTGGTTTGTAAATTAGTTGGTGATTTTAAATTTTTTTAACTTTTCAAAAAAAAATCTTCTGAAATTAGAAACTTAGAATTCAAAAAATTTTTAAGTAAATCATTACATTTAATTTAAATTAGGTTGGCAAAGAAATGGAATTGAGTTTATCTTGAAAATGGTTCTCCATCCTCGAAACGAAATTTCTGTTAGAAAATTGGCTATCAGACTTTTCATTATTTGGTTTTTTTTAAATTTTTCTATTATTTTTAAATATAAAAAACTTTAAGGTATCAAACCTTAGCTGTTTATGGCCGAACAAATTATAATCTGGATGTTGTTTTTCAATGTGTTTTGCCTCACTTTCCTCTTAACAATGAATTAAGTACTGATCGAATTTTGACTGTATGTTATTTTAAGTTATATTTTCTAATTTAAATTTATTTGAAAGATGTTTTGTGAGGGTTTTGAACTTAACTCAACAAATTGTGAATATTCAAATACACTGTTTGAGCCCTACATTGCCAAATGTATTCCCATCATGATTTGTACATCAAGTGAAGTAGATCAACAACAGCAACTTTCGACTTACATCGCAACATCTACTCGTGAAAAGGCAAAAACACTTCAGGTTATATTAGCTAAGCATTTTTAAACAATTTATTATGTTTTATAGATTTATCTTGATAAATTTCTTGAATATATAATTCGTGAGACCATGCGAATTAATTGGTCTAATCCTCTACAACGCTTGGAATGTGCAAGATTTTTATTGGATCGTATAATTACTCTATATATTTATGAGTTATTCCCCGTTGCGTCAACTGGAATTGATGTGAATAGCGGTTTGGAGACTACTTTTGCTGAAGATGTTAAAGATGACAAACCGCTTCTCGAGACTGCAGAACCTGAAACCATTGCTAAGTTTGTTTGGATCTTGTATTTTTAAAGCTATAAGTATTTTAAAGATATTGGCTCATCCGATTTTTTGTTCGAATTGCTGAACCGTTTGATTCAACCTTGGCTTCGTGTGCTTCTTCCAGCAATTTGCAATTAACTTCTGAACGTAGCAATAGTAATAATGTATCTTCATCTGGACTTCCACTCTTTAAACAAGTATCAATTTATTCTCAATTGTTATAATGTTGCTTTTTAGGCACTTTTTTCTTCACAAAAGGCTATAAATGTTTTGCTTACAATGATGCGTGAATCAATGAGGTTGGTGAATTTATCATTCATTATAAAATACTCATAAATCAATTTTTAGGCTTCCACTTTCATGCGTTAACGTTATACAAAAAGTCCTTGCTTTAATACGTATTTGGCTATCACAACCAGAATTACCCAATTTTCTTGATTCAAAGCGTGTATCCACAGACCACTGGACACAATTATTACTTCGGATGCTTTTTTCTTTTTTCCATTCGCCATATCTTCTCGTCATCAATGATCGTTTGCCATCTGCAATTTCTATTGCCCATAATATACTTAAAATTGTGAGAGATTTGGCAAATCCTTCAGGCATGCAAATTGTGCATGTTTCCAAGTCTGTATGGCAGGTTTGTTCATTTAATTTTAAAATATGCGTAACCTTTATTCATTAGGAACTACTTAAAAGATTAATCTCCGTCGTGGATTTATGTGTTACTAGATCAGATGCATTTGGACAAGCAACAGCCGCAGGCTTCACGCGTACTTTGTTAGGCACTTTGGTCTTTGTTCAAGTACTACGTGAAATCAGTATTGATAACCATTTATGGGATTGTGTGCTTGTTGTATTTCAAAGTGCTTCTTGGAAAATTCAGATTATTGAACAATGGTCAAGGATTACTATTAATATCACCAAAGCATTGATTTTAAATTTGTAATGATTTGAAGTTTAAATTTTATATATTTTTTTGCCAAATCAGATTTGCGATAGATATATGTTCTATCGATTCTGGTGTCCCACAAAGGGTTAACGATTCTATTGATGAGATTCCCAACTTTTCTGAAAATACGGTTATTTTTAACGCAAATTGTTTTATAATTTATTTTTTTACAGAGTTGTAATAACTTAAAAACAACAAGCGATAGTAGTAGCACTGACACTTGTCCTTGTGAAGTGAGTTGCCCTTTTTTTAAAAACTATGATTATGTAAATATTTTCAAAACAATTCACGTTAGTCTAGTCTACTGATTTGAATTAAATATTATAATCTCTTACGTACGAACAGATTAGTCGACTTGTTTTTTAACTGACAAAATATTGATGTAACCATTTTTCTCTAAATAAAGAAAAAAAACTCATTTTAAAATTAGGCTGCACTTACTCAAAACAACAGCGGATTGGCAATTGTTTGGATTAGAACATGGATGAGGATTATTTGTTTAGTGGATACTTCAAATTCTGAATGGAATCGCTCCCAACAAGTGGTTTAATTTTCTTTCTAATGTCACTTATTGGAAATCTTTCCTCTTTTTAGTTAGCTGTGCAAACTATTGCCACATATGGCCGAGCTGTGGATATGCTTATTCAAGTAGGAGAGGGAGCCCAATCAAGTAATGAAGCCAATCCTCTCATCCATTGGTTGGCAATACAAGTCTTGCGTTGCGCTTTAGACGTGGCGCCGCACGCACTTCCTATCATGTTTACCATTTTGGTAAGTGCACAGCCATTGCCTCCACTTGTGAGAGTTTTTATTCTTCATCGCATAACGGAATGTTTACGTACAGAAGTTGCGCCATTAGCACTTGAACATATTCCTTCAATAAACAGTCTAGAAGGTTTTTATTAGAAATTTGAAATTTTTAAAGTTTTTATTATTAAAGATATGGCCATTATTTCTGCTGAAACAATTTCAACGTTGCAAAGGCTTATCAAAAATCAAGAATTTTCGGCAAGAGCGGTAATTTTCGAGTATAATCATTTTTAATTTGTAAATTCAATAATTTAGATTCGTGTTGCCGCATTGCTATCTTTAAATCATCCAGATGCTGAAAAGGTTTTTTTAACATTATTTTTCAAATTTTTATTCTAGATTATAATTTCCCTTCTTGAAACACGTCGTCAATCACAACAACAACAGCAACTTGACCAATTCTCCTTGACGCTTTGTGTGAATGCACTTTCCCTTTTAATTCTAGAAAGAGCTGATGTAGTATTGTTTGATAGATTGTTACATCTTCTGATTGATCATCAATATGCTGCACGAGTTTTACCTTTATTTTGTGGTATTTTTACAAGATTTCAATAAATTAATTAAAAACATTTAGCTAATATTGCCTCAGTTATGCGAGTTGGCTTTCATTCCCAACTTATTGATGCCGTTCAATTGTCTTTGTCTAAGGCTAAAAATCTGAACATGTTAAACGATTTGAAATGGCAACTTTGTTCAATTTGTGCTAAAGAAAGCATTGCTTTACAATGGAAAGAAACTTTGGCAGAACGATTTGAAACTGATAAGGATAATTTTTTCGAGGGATTTGTAATTCGACTCTCGGTTAGTAACATTTAAAACGTTAAAATTTTTCCTTTCAGGGTCAATTTCCTCTACCAGGCTTTCAAATTACTCAATGGAATTCCATCCAAGAAACAGCAACTGAAAAAGAAGAGAGTGATGAGTGCAATATTTACATGGAAACAAATTCATCCATCCTTAGGTTTTTTTTCTTTACAAAATTTTTTAAAGAAAATATTCAGTTTGGGAAGAGAAGATCCTCAAATGCTTTGGTGTAGAACAGCTCTTGGTCGTTATGCTTATCAAATGGAGATGATTGAAGATGAGGAAGAGCTGAATCTTTCAGCTGATAATTGGCTAAACTCAATTTCGGATGAAATGAATCCTTTGTTCCAATCAACACAGAGTGCTCGGCAGAAATCTTCTCTAGTTGATGAAATCTTTGATCCATTCCAGGTTTAATTCTTTGTTTTCTAAAACGGATCTTGAGAGTCATTTTATCAATTAAGGAGTTGCCATTTCCTATTCCACGCCACTCTTCACAAATTCCCACAAATTTATCGTCCTCAACTTTTGCTCACAAAGCAGATTTGATTCCACTAGATATTTCTGTACCTGAAATCCTACAATTTATACAATCAAGCACTCGATCTCCTGAGGAAGTCACAGCATTCAATGGATATGATCATGCAAAATCTGACGCATCAAAATCAGAAATAATTGACCAACTTGGCAAAGACGATAGCATTATTGATCCAAGTACTGGGGATGGGAGGTTTATATTTTTAATGCTATATTTCACTAAATTTTCATAAAGTAAGTACAACTGCTGGCGAAAATTTAATGCTACTTTTGGATTTTTTGATTCTGCTAAAGATTCTCCATCAAACTTTTACCGAGAGATTCGACATTTAGACTCTACCGTCTGTCGAGAAGTGCACAAAGTTGCTGTAATTTTTGTTGGAGGAGGAAATGATTTACAAGTAAATATCTTTTTTTAAAAACGCTTATGGCAATTTTTCAGGATAAACAATCAATTTTATCAAACAATACAGGATCAGAAACTTTTAACAAATTTTATGATGGATTAGGTTTTTTTTCTTTACATTTATCATCTAATTTAAACTTTAAGGGTGGCCTGTTCATATTGGATCGTCTGAATTTTCCGGATATAATGGAGGTCTTCCTAATGGGTATTAATATGATTTTTTCTTACACGAATTCGTAACTTTATTTATAAGACAAACAGCAATTTATTATGCGACAGCAAACACAGAGCTTATTTTTCACGTTTCGACACTTCTGACTGGTGACGCTACTCAACGTTTAAAACACTTAGGAAATGATGAGGTTTTTTTGAATTTGATACATAAATTCTAACATAAAATAATCAGGTACATGTTGTTTGGTCAGAAAATACAAAACCTTATAGACGAGATATGATTGCTACTCGATTTTGTGATGTACTAATTGTATTATATTTATCAAGTCCAGTTCTTTTGCGTGTTCACATTGAAGTTCAAGATCCGCGCTTACAATTTGGTCCACTTTTTGATGGTATCTATTTTTTAAACTTTTTTATTCGAATTATTGAATTAATTATAGGCGCATGTATTCATATATCCCAAGCAAGGTTAATCTTTTTCTGTAAAATTCCTTCAGACATCTTTCATATTTTTTAGTACTCTAGTTCGTGAAACTGTGCTAAATGCATCACGTGCTTACCGAAATCTTCGAGTAGAATGTGATCGTCCAAATAAATATCGTGAGAGAGTTTTTCGTGATACAAAAAAGATGCTTAAACCTTTGCCATTGTCAAATTCAACCACAAGACTATTTCATGCGTCATTTGAATGAGTTGTATTTTTGCTTATTATTTTCCCAACAATCCCAGATTTCTATTTATTATAGCTAATGTAAACTTTTAAAATTTTAACTAACTTTTAAATTATTTATTTATTTATTTTTATATTAATTTAAGCCTTTTTCGTGCCTTATTAAAAGCTAAACTATGATAATATATCCTCCATTTATTCAGCATAAATATTTAAAGAAAATATTTTGATTTTTTTCTAATAGCTTGGATTTTTTGCTTACATTTTTTAAATCTATTAATTCATTTAATTTAATGCAATAATGTTTGGTCTTTTTTCTAATATGTAGCTTAATAAATAGCTAAAAAAAGCGATGAACATTCTACGTCATAGTAGGGGATCATTGAGTCACGCCGGTGAGCTTTCGATTGATATACTAATTATCTAAATCGATTAAGAATTAAAAGAGTTATGGCTCAAAATGTGGCTCCGGGACTCATCTGGCGGGACTCGATGATCCTGTTCCCTTAAAAACCCTAAATTTTTACTTTAGACAGAATTTCAGCTTGATTAGTAATCACGAATCTCTTCCCTTCATCCTAGTCATATATTTTTTTCAACATACATCTTTTAGAAACGATGGATTTGAGCAAGGGATACTTATGGGATAAATTGTGGCTGCCTTTTCTTATTGTATGCTTTTTTAGAATTTAATATTTAACATGTTTTTTACTTTTTAGGCTCTGTCGTCATTTTTCTTCTTTCGGCTTCTTCAGTTTATTGTGAGATGGTATCTCTTCGGCAAATGGACTTTCCGGACATTCAGCTACTTTAAAATTCGTACATTTCGTCGAAATCGGAACAAGAATATGGACAGCAAATCTCTTCAGGTTTTGATAAAATTATAATTTTAATTAAAAACATTAAATGTTTTGGTAATCTTGTAGTTCACTAGTTTACTAGAAAAGGGGCAAAAAATGCTTTTCGATTATTTTACAACCTGTTAATGGGTTGTCATGTGTCCTAAGTCCTTATACAAGTTCAAATTTGTTTTATTTCGAATCCCAGACCCGAGTTCGGGTTGATTCGACTTCAGATTCTCAGATTATCTACTGACAAACCACAAAAACATTGAAAAGCACTCCTCGTTCATTCCTCCTTTGGACTATTAAACAGAAGATTACTAATGTTTTTAAGTCAAGTAATGTTCCGAAAATAATATCATGCTTTTTTAGCTTGTTCCTCCTAACAAGAAATGGCGTATTTCGAACGAGATTGTTTCACTGTTTCATTCAGTCCTGTCTGGCCTGTGGGCTTTGTATATTTTGGTTAATATTGAAGAGTACATTCATAATGAGAAGAGTACTTTGATAACTGTGCGAACTAAGAGTGCTGAATATCTGGTAAAAATTTTTCACCTCAAAAGTTTATCCGAAAACATTTATTTTAAGGTTTTAATGTCGTTTGGTTACCTCGTTCACGATTTTATTGATCTTGTTGTGAATGAGCGATCAGCTCGTATAATCGAACTTCTATTTCATCATGTGGTTGTACTTACAGGATTTACGGTTACTCATATTACTGGACAATTTCTTTATATTGTCGTTATTGGTTTGCTTATGGAAGTTAACAGGTTATTTTTAAAAAGGTTGTAAAAGTTATAAAATTTTATTTTCAGTATTTTTTTACACACTCGCTCATTGATGAATCTCTACCGACAGAAAAAGAATTCGACTGCATTTAAAATTGGTAATCTTTTTATATTCTTACTAAATTATGAGTCACTCCTATATTCAGTTGCCATGCTCAACATTTCTACTTTTGTCCTCTTTCGTCTTGCCGTGAGTGCAGCATTAATAGGTATACAACTTGTATTTCCAGGAAAAACTCAATTACCTTAACATTAATTTCTTACAGGTTGGCTTTTCTACCATTATGTAAGTGGCTTGGTTCAATGGCATCTGCAAGTGATAAACAGTATTTTGGTCTTCTCACTTACCACAACAAACTGTGTTCTATTTTATCGTGTTCTTGCCGCAGATGGGCTTCTTGGTGCGAATCGGGCGCGTGCTGCAGACCTTAAGGATAAACGACATGAAACAGCAGCTCAAAACGCTGACTCCGGACATGGCACAACGACTCAACAGAAGGTTTTTTAACATATTAATGCTCACAATTTAAGAAATTTTAGGATGATAAGGCTGATGAAACTGATCCTAGCTCGAACGATGAAGACGAGGAAGGTACATCCGACGAGAGTGATAATAAAAAATTTGGAGGAAACAATCAACCTCGTCCGAATTATATTGAGGTGCCAACACATCCTACGAGTTCACAGGAGGTTTTTATTGTAAATGTGGAAAATTAAATTGATAATTGCAATGTATTCACACACAAACATTATTGTAAAAATGTAACTTATATAAGAAAACACGGGGGTAGAGCCAGGTTTTTTTCCTTTTCCGAACTGAAATTTGTTCCTTATAAAAATTCAGTACCATATTTCACTAACTAAAAAACGATTCTAATAAGATGACACGGTTGGTTAACATCTTTGATCCATTTCTTTTTCTGATCAAACCTTCAACCTGACTACGCTTGCCTAACCTTTCCTATTGTAAACATTTATCGTGCCTTACAAACTATGGAGTGTTTTTTACATAATTTCTCTTCTTTTTTTTACTTTATTTTTCTTCAAGTAAGACATAAAACAAGAAAAGACACTACCCAGATTGGGACCAATTGTTTTTCATATCAATGATCCACATCTTACAAAATCCCTAATCATCACCCAACTGATTTCGACACATATTTGTTTGCTTTTAGAAAAATAATTTTTTAAACGACTTAAAATTACATAGCTTAAAAATGATGAAAAAAATTTCTTTTCAGTATGTCAGACACTTTCTGGTTCAGCATCCACCACTTTGAACCTAAATAAAAAAAATTTTTAGTTTAAGCTTTTTCCACTCCCAAATCGCCTATTTTTAAAAAAGAAATTAACGTTACCATTGTTCGCATTCGCAACGTCTAGCTTTTCCATCATTTTTTAAAATCCAATAATTCACATGTTTGCTGTCTTTCTCACCTAAAAATGAGACGATATGATATCAATTAAACACTTAAGAAAAGCTTCTTCTGAGAGCTTTTCTTAAGTCAGTAAAAATTCAAAACATACAAATGCATCCAACGACTTTGTTTTCACCAGCTTGTGCATAAACCTTAACCATCAAAAATGGATATTTACTTGTTATTTCAAACCATATTTGGCTCTTCACGTGTTGAAACCAGCAGACGAAAGTAAATTCTTGAATGGTACCTCTAAAAGGGGGTAATTAAAATTGACTAGAAATTTGTGATGTTCGGATTCCCTAACAATAAGTAAATAATTTTCTCCTTTTTTATCCCCTAACGAAAGAATAAGGGATTTTAGTTCGAGGCACAATAGTCTTAAAATTTCTGCGTTTATTACACTTGAAAATCTTTTACTTCCGAACATCACTACAAGAAATTTTTTAATCACCAACGTCAATGCCTTGAGACTTCTCCAGTACCCCACGTATCGCACTCGTGTCAGCTCCCACTCCCATAAATGCATAGTCATGGGCATCTAGAAGACGCAAAGAAAATAATTTTTAAAGTAAAAATTTTAAGAAACCGAGTTCTGTTGAGTATAGTCGTCTAATGCATTGTTGTGTGGCTAAACGACTGGGTCCGAAAACCTGAAGACTTCGATAGACAAACATAGTAGACAAATAAATAAAATATTCTATTAGAAATTGAACATAATATTTAAAAAACGATAATGATATGTGTAAAGACATGAATAACATGTACATATATTAGTGAATCTCGATTTGACTGAAAAATGGCATGTCCCCTTAATCCCTCGATATTCTTTCAGAAGTACAGGTTCTTCCTACAGGTCCTTCCGGGTCAATAGATCTTCGGAGTGAAGGTTTGAACATAATATTAAATATTCGAATCCGGAACTCGAAATAGGTTGTCCCCTTTGAAGAAAAGTACATTCAGTCAAACCTAAGACTCACAAATATTATATCTTTAAAAAAGTCATTTAGGTATCACTTTATTTTTTACAACTGCATATACTTAAAACAATAATGAGCATAAACTTTAACCAAAGAAATTCTTAATCCTATTAAAACCTGCTTTATCGAATAATTCTTAAACGGTCTCGGGCTCAGCGTCAACAGCCTTGAACCTAAAAGAAAAATTTTTAAAAATTAATAATTAAAAAAATGAAAATACCAATGTCCACACTCGCAACGATGAGGCTTTCCATCTTTCCGAATAATCCATTCCATAAGATATGAAGCATCGGGTTCACCTGAACATATAAAATATACTTAAGATTTTATAAGGATGCCACAAATGGAGTCAAAGGATAATGTAGCTAAAAAAATACGCTTATTTATCCCTTAAAAAGGAAAAAATTGGGGAGAGGATGGAGAAAAAAGTGAATTTTTTCGCCTACAGCTATCAAAATTTACCGAAATTCTCAAAAAACCCATCCCCCTCGACACTGATTATTTGGACAAAATATTACTTCGATCCCATATATCCCTGACAATTAAATAAAATTATAAAAAACAAACATTTGCAAACCATGTGCTTCTCATTCAAGTGACAAGGAACCAAATTAGGATAGTCGCGAGTGCTGTTCTCCGCTCGATAGAATAGTTTTGGCTCGTAGCGCTTAAATAGTCTTATATAATACAAAAACTACAACATTTAACTCACATCATCACCCATAAGGCGAGCAATTATCATCTTCTTTTCTTGACCATATGCCTGCTCAATAGAATCCGGCACATCGCCTAAAAAATTTTTTTAAGTTGAAAAAATCATGAATGATATAAAAACCACTAATCTTAGTTCTTGTGTCGTTTCCCTCCTCCCGCCCCCTTCCCACCCAATTTTTTTCTTGATGTACAAAATGGGCGTTTATTTATTCCTTGCAAAATTTCACAAAATTTCTCCGCGGCAACACTTTTTTGTCTTTTAGATGTCTCACACTACGACTGATTAGATGAAGCCACTGGGAAATCATGGGAAATTTTGCGAGGAAGAAATCAAGGAAAAAATAGGATGAGGGAGGGAAACGACATAAGACCCTAATCTTTTAATCGAAGAACAAATGATAAAATCATACCATATTCATTCGGATCAGCGGCAGGCAGAAGATTTGCTCCTCCAGCAGGCTCAAACTTAATTGAAGAAAAGCATCTGTGAGCGAGGATTAAGCGACCATCCAATTTTGGCATATTGAACGCGACTATTTGTAAACGTTTTAGCATTTGAGACATTTTATATCAAATAAAAATTGAAATAATAATCTAATCTCTAAATATGATAAAAAAACTAAAAATCTTTAGAATTAAAAAAATTTGCTGAATTGAAAAATTGTTGGCAAAAATTATGTAAAACAAAGGGCGTGAAGATAACAAAAGGTCTCCAGGACCAGGCACGGACAAAAGGTCGCCAGGACCAGGCACGGAGAAAAGGTCGCCAAGACCAATCACTGACAAAAGGTCGTCAAGACCAAGTATGGACAAAAGGTCGCCAAAGTCAAGTATGGATAAAAGGTCGCCAAAGTCAAGCACGGACAAAAGGTCGACAACGCTAATCACTGACAAAAGGTCGCTAACGCCAAGCACGTTTACCACTTGAATAAGAATATGTAATTGAGCATTAAAACGGGAAATGTTAAATTTAAACAATTTTTAGATTCTCAAAACACCAGCACTGTCAAAAATTTCAAATCGAAATACACATTTAAAATAAAAAGCATGAGAAAATCCCCTCACTTAAACCAACATAGTATATATCGACCTCAAACATAGTACGTATGTATGAGACATACACGACCGGCACATGCATGCATTGGCAATTAAAGCCTCTTTTTTATCCGTCCCTTTTCGTGTTTTCTTTCTTTTGTATTCATTCAGCTTCTTTCCATTTGTCATTTTCTCGTCGAAAATGCCATTCTCCTCCTCACAACTGCCTGCTTTTTTTGGCCACTTTATTCCAGTTGTCATTCTCTCTTGCCTTTCTTCACAACAAAATATATCACTCATTCACTATCCCTTGGCACATTAATATCTTTTTGATTTCCAGGAGTATGTAACTCTAAGATTTTAGGTTTTGCACCCGACTAGATATGAAAACGATAGGCACAGATACGTAAAATTGTCTTAATCCAGAAGCTATGATAGCACGTTCCGAAAATGGAAGTATTGATGCAGTTGATAGTTTTGGGAGCAATGTAAAAAGGTGTGCATCAACTGACAGTAACGGATTTCCAGTAAAGGATGTTGATGCAATAAAATTATTTGTTGGACAGGTATTAGCGATGAAATAAATCATATTAGAGGAGAGCTGAGGATATTTTTCCAGATCCCTCGCAATTTGGAGGAAAAGGATTTGAGACACATTTTTGAGTCGTTTGGCAAAATCTTTGAATTTACTATTCTTAAAGACAAATATACTGGAATGCATAAGGTAGTGTTCTTGAATAAAAATGCAAAAATATCCTGTTTAGGGATGCGCTTTCCTAACGTTTTGCCATCGTGAAAGTGCTCTAAAATGTCAAGCGGCACTTCATGACCAGAAAGCATTACCAGGGGTATGTATACAATATTAAATCTCATTTCTATGTATATAGATGAATCGACCTATGCAGATTAAACCTGCAGATACTGAGAGTCGTAGTGGTTCACCTAAACAGAGCACTGAAGACAGGAAGTTGTTTGTGGGGATGCTTTCTAAGCAGTACAATGAAGATCAAGTAAAAAATGTTTTATTTGTAAGCACATAACTTTGACAGGTACGGGCTATGTTTGCTCCATATGGACGTATCGAAGAAGTAACAGTATTAAGAGGGGCAGACAATGTTTCAAAGGTGAGCATTTCTAATTTAAAATGCATGAACAATCAGCGCAATATAGGGATGCGCCTTTGTAAAGTTCTCACAAGCTGCTGAAGCAGAGCGTGCTATTCTTGCTCTTCATGGATGCCAAACAATGGGAGCGTCTAGTAGCCTAGTTGTTAAATTGGCAGATACTGAGCGAGAACGACAAGTACGTCGAATGCAGCAAATGGCTGCACAATTGGGACTGATTAATCCGTTGGCAGGCAATAGTGCGCAGTTAACAACTGCGCAACAGACCCAACAGTTAATGGCAGCAAGTAGTCAAGCAGCAGCCGTGGCAGGCATTCCAGGCTATCCCGGCACTTTCGCACCAAATGGAGTTGCAAACACGTTAGGTACTTCCAATGTACTTGGGCAACTCGGAGTAAGCTCCATATGTTTTTGACTTTACCCTGTACTTTTTCAGCTCATCCAAGCTCAAGCTGCACAGGCTCAACTAATTGCTGCTGCTTCAATGGCACATCAACAGTTAATCAATCCAGCAGCAGCTATGGTGGCCGCAGCTTTAGGACCTGGAGTTTTTATGCCCTCTCTTCAACAAGTTACTAGTTTACTAGTTAGTCTTTAAGTCTCCCTTAACTCAAGGATCTCTTCGGCATCATTCCTAATCAACAACAAAGTTCATCGACTGGTATAGGATTATTGGGTGCTGTAGGAGGTGGTTCAGCAATACAAGCAGCAAGAAGTGGTGCAACCACTGGATCCTTGAATTTATTGAGGCACTCTAAACAGCTTTCGGCAACAGCAACATCATCTTCCTCTGGGACAGGACAGTGCGGCTCCATATCAGAAGGAGCAAACGTTGCGGCTTTAATGCCTGGCAGCTACCCATCTCAGCAGCCAGCATCATTTCTACAACAAACGAATACCTGTGGGCAACAAATGCTGCTTGGAATTGATCAACCGTTAAGCTGTAAAAATTTTTTTTGGACTATTTTTAAAATAAACCATCTTATGGTCAGCGGGCCTCTATGGGCAAATGCTGCAGCAAGCTTTGATTGCTCAACAACAAGCACTAGCTGCAGCAGGCCTGACCACTAATCAGCATCCAAAGGAAGGTAAATAAAATTACCTATGTAATCCACCAATGATCTATTCTCATAACAGAATATTCAATGGGCCCAGATGGGTGCAATCTGTTTATATATCATCTACCTCAAGAGTTCACAGATAATGAACTGGTAAAGGATTAACTTGTGCAACAGACTAACATTTTTAATTATTTAGATCCAGATGTTTGCCCCATTCGGGCAGTTACTTTCAGCCAAGGTTTTCGTCGATCGAGCCACTAATCAAAGCAAATGTTTTGGTTAGTTTTGAATAATGCTGATACTTAAGTTAAATCCAAATAACTGTAAAAATATTGACGACGTGTTAATAGCGTGTTAAGGTATACTAAGGAACAAGATCGTGAACTTTAATGCTTTAAATCTGTATGTTTATATGTATTTGGCACATTTGTGCGCCGTGTAGTTAAAATTTTTCTTACAATTTTTTCGAGTGTGAGTGTATTGTGAGTGCCATTTTCTTTCTTCAGGCTTTGTTTCATATGATAATCCAAATTCTGCTACGACCGCTATTCAATCTATGAATGGTTTTCAAGTTGGAATGAAACGTTTGAAGGTGGGTTTGTGTGTAGTAATATACATAATGTTAAAAATCAGTTAGTTTGAATATTAGGTCACCACTAATTTCAGGTGCAGCTGAAGAAACCTAGAGAGAAACCCTACTAATCTTGAGAAAATGTGTTAATGATACGTCAGCATTTGTTCCAAATTAAAGTACTATATGTATTAGAAATTATCCAAGATTTTTAAGTTAAAATCCTTTAATGTTTCGCAAACTTAAGTATGTGAATTTTGTTTTTCAATAGTCATCGTATTTATGTTGCTCTAGTCATTTATCTCAAAATATACACTATTTTATTTTATATTGGTTCAAAAGATCAGTTTTTTCTTATCTCGTGATTATAATAGTCTTTGTATTTTGTTGTCAAAACTCATTATATTCAATTTGCGTTTTTCTGTTCAAATTGTAATTTTTGTTTCTCCGACTTAGAATTTTTATACTTAACTAAAAAATATTGCAATTATGATTATCTAGTTTATACACTATCTATTAAAAATTTTCCCTTTTTCAGAAAATTATCTACATCAGCAACAAATTGCCATCACGTAGATTTTTTAAATTATTTACCTAGCTTTACGAATATTATTAGATCTCAAACTATTATAATTTTAAATCTCGTATATTAAATCATTTAATCTAACTCTAAAATTCCTCCTATATGAAAGGACGCCTGTTTCTGATAGGGCAGAAATTCTGAAAAAAGTGAGGTAATCAAATGTCTTTTCATACAGGAAACTATTTAACATCCTTTTTATTCAATAATCTAATCATAATTATCAAGAAATAACCACCTATGGAGAATCTGATGATCTCATGTGTATAAAGAAATTTAAATATTTGGTAGTTTGGGAACAAATATTTGTAAAAATATTTTGAAAATTTTTCGAATTTTATTTGGACCCAAACTATATAAATTTTGTATCAAGCATTTATTATAACAATACTAATTAAATCCTTATCTTTTTGTTCTTTCCTGATTTAATTGTAAACTTCGAAAATTTAATGTATTTTCCATTTACGACAATTTTTATTATAGCAAATGATAAATTTCGAAATCAAACTGACATGCTAAAATTTTTTCAGCTCTCTGATATGTAAAGGAACGTTTAATCGACGAATTGAGCGGACATAAACGTGATAATGAACGGCACTGGTAGTTTCCAAAGGGAAATTTGGTAGTTTCCAAAGGGACTTGGTAGTTTCCAAAGGGAATTGGTAGTTTCCAAAGGGAAACTACCAATAGTGCCATGTAAACAAAATTTAATTTTAAACTGTTTAAATTAGAAATCATACAAAAATTTTATTAAATCAAAGAAAAAAAATTACAAGTTATCGTTCACTCATTTTCCCTTCAACCACCTCCGTTCCGAATCCTTAAATGTTCAAGAATCGCTTCAGGTGAAATACCGAGGCGTTCACCAGCACGAAGCTAAAAGATTTGTTGTATTTTTAACTTAAAAAAATTTACCACGACAGCAAGTTGTTGCTCGATAGTTAACATTGCTGAATTATGAAAAACAGAAATAGTTTAACTCAAAAGTTAAAAAACTTGCCTCTCTCTCTAGCTATTGCATCGTAAATTTTTTGTTCATTAATTTCTTCTGTCCATGGAAGTGAGTCTTCTCTTTTTACAGGCTGCCAAGATACCATTCGCTTTTCAAAAGAATTTTGTGGTTCTAATTGTCCCTGAGGCGCTAATAAATGCGCGCGCGGGCGCGGCAACATTTGAGATTGCAACTGCTGGAATATTTGCTTCTGTTGTTGCAAACGGTTGGGCTCCTGAAAACACCAATTATTAGAATCTAACTAAGAAATTAGATTTATTTACTACTTACAGAAGAAGCTTCCATGTTTCTGAATCCACTTCTTGGAAAAGGCAAATTTTTTGATTGTTGATCGTTCCATGAAAGATGATTTTTTCTCGAAATTACGTCTACGGTACGCTCAAGTTCAGCAACCTTTGAGTGAAGTGCATCCATCCGCTCAGAAATTGAAGGGATTCGTGTCTGCCTCTGGTCAACTACTTCTTGAACTTGTGCCGAAGAAGAAAAGTATCTGACTGGTAAAAGTTAAATCATTACATCAGTCTCAACTTCTTTGTTTTATAAACAAACCAGTTAATGTGCTTATTAGCGCAGCAAATAGAAAACAAACAACAATTGAGGCAACTCGTGTTAGATTACTAGGTTTATAGCGAGAAGTCGTTGACTCTACTATGGGGATATTAAGTACTTCCGGCATTTTTTGCTTTTTAATTAAACTTTTTAATTGACAAAGAAATAAAGCAATGTATTAACCTGAAGGATGAGGCGAAAATTAAGAAAATTAAAAAAGAGTGGCCTCCAATGATAAGCTATTTTTATTTAGAAGTGGATAAATAGGAAAACAATTAAACAAAATTGGCCTAAGCCAGTCAATTGAAAAAATTAAAAACAGCATTATAAACCTAACTAAAAATCTTTAAAATTTTAATTGTCTTACAGATTAAATTTTCTAAATACTGAAGCAAATAGCGAGGAAATTAGTTTTAATTACTTAAATGCATGACGTGTCCTCCATCTGTTTTTATTACTTTTTTTAATTACTCCCTCTTATACAATTTAAAGGAATGAAATAACTTGTGCTTGTAAAGCAAATCTTATCGTTAAGATAATAAATGATAATTTATTATTTTTAATAGATGTTGACTTTTATAATACACAAAGCAAAAATGATAAATTTTTTCCTTTAAAGTAAAAATTCCTAAAATTCCCTAAAATTCATAAGGAAAAAATTCCTAAACCCACAGCAAAATGAACGCAGTTAAGAAAAAAATGAGTTGATAGCTGCTTTACCTGCATAGCACTTACACAAGTGGCACGTCCCAAATAGGACCATTACTAACACATATATTAATCCTTAACCTCTCACCATCCACGTGTAGTAGAGTTGATCACGCAACAAAAAATAATAAAAATACTTTATCCACTAACATATTTTAATACATTAAACCTATTTGAGAAAAACATCATTTTATACTTGTATATGCGCCGTTTCCATATTCTCAGGTCCCGTACTATGCACATTATAAAATCGCTGTCCACAGTAACCACAAGCATGAGTTCCTAAAATTTCCAAAAATTTTCTAACAATCAAAGGAGAAAAACCTGGCTTATCCAAGTTGATAAAAACCTAAGTAAAATATAAGTTAGTAAATAAAATAAACGATAAAAGCAACCTTTGGATGACCTCCATGGAAATGACCACCATCACAAAAAACAACGCTATCCTCGCTTGGTACAGGTGCTTGTTCTGCAACAAGGTGAGCAGCAATATTAGGATTCACTTGCTTCGCAGAATATTCAAAACGAGCAAGACGATAGTCTGCCTAGAAAATTATTGAAATATTTAAAATTAATCTTCCAAAAATAATTAAATTAACCTGATCCCACGCTTGACCTGTATGAGTTATTTGATCAAATTGTGCCGCTGACCCATCCTTTTTAGAAACAATTTCACTTGGCATAGGCTTTCTCAAGACACTGACTGATTGATTCTCTGCAGATGATGGTTTCTTTATACGCGCCTCCTTAAATGATGTAAAAAGTTGTCTCAACCAACTAGACGGATTCTTCATTTTTTTCTGATATAATTAAATAAAAATAAAGTTTAAATGAAGAGATATGTATGTAATTGATAACAAATATCGGCAAAATATTTAAATATTTAATTTAGTCCTTTCAAATAAAAATAAATATACTTTAATTTCGATCAAATATGATCATACATAATTTTGGCATGTCAAGAAAATAATTGAAAAAGGGAAATATCAAAATCAACGATCAGACCCTAAGCCATGAAAAAAATATGCAAGAAATTTCTAAAACGGGAAAAGAAATTTAAAAATATTTAAAGCCCGAACATTTCTTCAATTTCAATAATTTTTATTTTTAAGAATTATTTTAAAAATAACAAACCTAACCATTCTGTAATGTAAAAGAAAAATCTTCATAAGTCTTTAAATTCACTTCAAGAGTATATTGTCTTGTAAAACTTGATAGCAATCCTTTAAGTCTTTAACTAGCCTTCTGTGCCAGCCCAATAGTTGAATTTTTACTTAAAATTTCAAATTAAAAATTCCAAGCACTTTGGTTAAGTGGGAAATTTTTTAAAAAATAGGGGGAATGTTCGAACCAGCTCGGGGTTCGAATTTTACCTTGAACGGGTTCGAACCTTCCTGTATTTTTAAAAATTATTCCACTTAACCAAAGTGGATGTTTTTAATCTTATTCCTTACATCAAACTTTCAATTATTGAAACGGCACAAAAAGCAATTAAGGAATCAGAAGATTGCTATCAAATTCTATAAGTCAATATTCAAGCATTTGTAAAGCATATAGCTATTAATTTCCTAAGGCTGAGCAGTAGGCGGCGTGGTGTAATGGCTAACACATCAGTCCGGTCTACTGAAGATGCTGGTTCGCTCCCAGCCGCCGAATAACCTTTTGCACTAGCTAAAGGAGAGAAATAGCTATAGCCCAGCTGCTTTACTCATTTAACTCTTGAAGTGAATTTGAAGACTTATAACGGTGGCAGGCCAAAAAGTACCAGGACGTCCTGGACTCTATAATTTTGAACAGTTATAGCTCTAATATTTTAGAAATTCTTAAATTTTTATGGATATGGGTCTGAATATAACAGCAAAGGCTAAATAAACTAGACAAATTTAATGTTGAGTCCACTTGATCGTCTTCAAATCAATTCCTTCTTGTACCATTTCCCAAAGTGGTGACATCTTAAAAACATTCACAATTTATTTAAAATTAAAAAATAGAAAAAAAAACCTCTCTAAGTCGATGTGCTTCAGTAACACATTTTTTTACAGTGAAATCCACCTCTTCCTCAGTTGTGAATCTTCCAATACCAAAACGAATTGAAGAATGGGCCAAATCCTCATCCAGGTCTTTAAAGCACAAATTAAATTTATTATATAAACAAAAATATCAGCAAATAATTTAGCTGTTGTCTATTTTTGGAAAAGGGCACAAACGCAGAATCAACTCTAACTCTGAGCTTCGATCCCAGAATTAATTACTTCGATCTCAGAATTTGTGATATTTTGTTACACATTATTAAATTTAATTTGTTTTAACTCACCGATAGCGCGCAGCACATATGAACTAAAAAAGTTTTGTTAAAATCGCAACATGAATTATTAATTCAAATCTTACGGTTCCAAACTTGCAGAGGTACAAGCAGATCCAGACGATAGAGCCACCTTTATTTTAAAGATAAAAAAGAATGTTTCAATATGTAAAACCTCGTTAAGTGCCATAAGCAAACTCTCTCCCTCAATGTAAGCAAATGAAAGGTTGACGCAGCCTAAAATAAGAATGAAACAACCGTTAAGACACGCATATAATAATGTCCTACAAACCTGGGTACCACATATCAGGATCACCATTGCGCATCTAGAAAAATAATCATTAATATTAATTGTTGTTGTGTATAAAAAATAATATTTTAGTAAATATTTCTAAAGATTTGTTTTTAAGCTATAGAATGAAACACGCTGGTCTCATGTCTAACTCATTAAAAAATTAAATTAACTCAAACTAACTATATTTGGAATTCCTGTGTTTAGTCCATCAATTAAACGTTTTGCCAATGCTGAGACATGTGCATAATCGAATTCGCGCTCACGCTGAGCAATATCACAAGCAACTCCAAAACCAATTATCAGAGGAGCAGGAAGAGTTCCAGACCGAAGACCACGCTTAGATGTTTTTAAATATGCTTTAAAATATTTGAGGTCGTACCTCTTGACCGCCTCCGGACATTTGAGCCTTAAATAAAAAAATTCATCGTTTCAACAATAAGAAAAACAACCTCGACTCGTACTCGAGGTCTTCTACGGACATATAGTGCACCGATTCCTAAATTGAAATATAAGTTCGTTCAATAAAAAAATAAAATTTAAACCTTTAGGACCATATATTTTGTGCCCACTTATCGACATCAAATCTACATTTAAATCATCAACATTCAAAGGAATCTTTCCAACAGCTTGAGCTGCGTCTGTGTGAAAGAAAACGCCTTTTTTGCGACAAAGAGCTCCTTATAAATAAAAATCAAAACTGGCATTAAAAAGTAAAAACTAACCAATCTCTTTTAATGGTTGACGTACACCAATCTCATTATTTACCGCCATGATTGAAACCAATGATGTTTGTGGACGAATAGCTTCTTCAAGAACTTTCAGATCAATCACGCCATTGCTTTTGACAGGGATATATGTCTTCAAATAAAATTAATAATCAATAAATGTGTTAGTTTTCTAGTACCACTTCATGACCAACACTCTCAAGAAAACGACATGAGTCTAAAATTTCGGCAAATAAAACTTTTAACATTATAATTTTTCATACCGAGAACGCATTTGTGCTCAGTTTGAGCAGTAATCACATGGTTTTTTCCCGCAACTCGATAAAAATTTGCAACGCCTTTAATTGCAATATTATTTGATTCTGTTGCGCCCTATAAAAATATTCTTAAAAAATCATTAAAAATAAAAATATACTGATGTAAAAATAATTTCACGAGGATCAGCACCAATCAAATCAGCAACTTGTTTACGAGCAATATCAACCGCTTTTTCTGTAAAATAAAGACTGTTAATAAAAATAATACGCCTTACCTGTTTCCCAACCATAAGCATGTGTCCTACTATGTGGATTTCCAAAATCATTCAGCTGGTAAGGTAACATTGCATCAACAACACGAGGATCCTATTAATTAAAAATGAGGACACTTATATGAATAAATCCCGTTTCCATACCACCTCGACCCCAGCTCACAATCAGACCTCTCCAAAAATTTTGAAAACTAACAAAAACAAACCGTAGGAGTAGTAGCCTGAACATCCAGATAAATAGGCCTCACATTAATGTCCGAAGATACAAAAGCCTCCACAATACCATTTCGAAGTTTTTCAATTCCTTCAGAACGAAAAGATTCTGCTGCATCAGAAGAAACTGTAGCCTGAGAAATTTTTCCAAGTTGCACAGCGACGCCTCGGAAATGCTTTCCGAACATGATGGTTAAATAGACTGGAATATTTAAGACTTGGTAACGTTTAAATATGTATAATCTAAAAAAAAATTATGGTTTTTTACATCAAATATGGAAATTATTTAAAAAATAATTTTAAAATTAAAACAAAATTTAATAGAATTTTATAACCTTACATAGAAAAATAAACATTTCGAATAAAAAATACATCAGTTTAAATCGCAAAGCCAAACGAAACAAAAAGATTTTTTGTGTCCATCAACTAATCGAGATTGATGGCGTAAATATAATTGGGACGGGAAAGGGGCCTTGGGAATAACACAAAAAAAGTCATAGAAATGAAAAAATGATGATGAAGCGTAACGTGGGATTTTTCTATCCATCTCTCCATCGAGCTAGTGTTCATTGAGCACTTGTGCACTACCAACTATTGAACTACCACTTATACCAAGATCATTAGGTGACGGGGAAGCCACAGAAGCAAGGCACGAATCTAATAAAATAAATTTCTAATAAAAAAATAAAATAAATTTTTCATACTTTCAATATTGTTAGTTGACGTTGTAGCAGAAATCATCTTTTTCCTATGTTCCTCTACAACAGGATAGAAAAACGGATGCTCCATTGCCTCACGAGCAGTAAGCCGATCTTGGTGATCATATCGCAAAAGTTTGTCAAGAAAATCAATTGCCTCGGGCGTAACCAAATGTTGATTTTCAGAATGAACAAACCGTTCCCAACGTTTTCGAGAATGCCTAAGAAATTAGTTCCACAAATTGGGATCAAGATATTAAAAAGAACCTTCCCAACAAATCATTAAAGCGTGGATCAAGCTCAATCTGGTATTTGTCAATATATTCAAACAACTCGTCCGTTCCCAACACTTTTGCAATTCGCACCAACTGTAAAGAATAAGTAGACGAGTAGTTTAAAAATTTTAACCTGATCATAATTGTCATGTCCATGGAAAAATGGCTCCTTCCTAAAAATCATAGACGCAACCATACATCCTAATGACCACATATCCAAAGAATAATCATAACACTAATAAATATATTATACTAGTAAATAGTCCAAAAAACAGACCTGATAATCGACTAGAAGCTCTGGCCCTTTGAAGTACCTTCAAAAATTTAAATAGAATTAAGGGTAAAATATTCTTACCTTGAAGCAACTCGAACATTATATTCCTGTCGGGGATGATAAAACTCAGCAAGACCCCAGTCTATGAGTGAAAGCTGCCGTTTTTCATGGTCAATCATCACATTGTGTGGCTTAACATCTCTGTGCATGATTCCCATAGAGTGACAATAGTCTAATGCCTTCAATAACTCATAAAGATAATATCTAATCTCGTAGTCAGAAAGCGTCTGATACAATTGCTAGAATAAAAAACAAACAGATATAAACAGAAAATCGTTGCAACTGCTCTAGGTGAAACTAGAGTGGATGAATTAAAACTAAAGGTAAAATTCAACATCGTACCCCCCTCACTCCTATTTTTATTATTATAGTAAAAATGGTCAGACTTAAAATATGTTACAAGCCTTAAGTTCTGCTTGTAAGAACAAATGTCAACGTTGATTGCTTGTACCACTTTTTATATTTGTAATCGGTTCATCGTGCTCCGATAAAATCGTTATAGGAAAGGGAGCTCGACACACCCAGAGTTACCGACACCCTCAAGTCTGACATTTTTTCCATTGAAGGAAAAAGAAATTTTTTATCGATTTTTATTCTATCGAACTAACCTTACTTATCAAAACCTGAGTTATTTATAAATCCTAACCTTAAAATCAGTATTATTGATGTATTCAAAAACAAGAGAAGGTGTTCTTGAAACTGGATCTTTGACCACATCCAAGAGTGATATAACATTGACACCGCCTCTAAGATTTTCCAAAATCTTAATTTCACGTTTAATTTTCTTCTTTTTCACAGGCTATAATTTAAAAAATATTAAATAGATAAAAATATAGAAACTTATTTACTTTAGGTACCCACCCCATTACTATACCAGGCGATTTTAGATTAGGATAGATCAATCGAAATAGCTCGACGAGCTAAACCGAATGACACCAAAATCAGCCATCAATATCAAGCAGATCGTAAATAGTGGCTCAAATTGGCCACCCTATTAGATTCGGTCTAAAATCCAATATGTAGAGTAATGGATTGAGTTCATAAAGTATATGTTCCAAAATAAAATATTCGGTCTAAAATCCAATATGTAGAGTAATGGATTGAGTTCATAAAGTATATGTTCCAAAATAAAATATTATAAACCTTAAGAATTTTGATGACGACTTTCTCTTCAGTTGGCACCTTGATTCCTTCAAAAACCTCAGAATATTTACCACGACCAAGCTTACGAACTAATTGATAATCATCAATATTCCCCCATTCTTTAAATAGAAAAATTTTTTAACCACAAAAATAAAAAACTAACCAATTTGATGACATTCATAATCCCAATATTCACGCGGCTTATTAATATTTATATCAGGATAAACACGAGAACGGCTTGGAACTGGCATTATTATTGAAAGATATAGACACGTCAGATAAAAATACTCTCAGCAAAGAAACGAAAAGCAAATGAAGAATTTAGAAAATAATTTTTCTGAAAAAATAGATTAATAAAAACAAGCAATCCAAAAACTCAAATACAAAAAGCCTTAAAATAATAAAGCAAATAATCTAAAAAATCACTAAAGCCGCACCAAAACAATTGTTATTGGTCGATTTGTTGCCCCACTTAATTCTTATCAGAACGTTAAAGTCTGCTTCAGTGTTTTTCTAAACCAGACACGTACATGGATACGAATAATATCCGACACCCTCGGATACAGCCGGATATCAAGTGTTTTTTTCAAAATAGGGCGGATACGGCGGGATACGGATATGATGCTCCAAATCAGTGGATATCCTTCCCTAATTTCTGAGATTCAACATCACCAGATAAATTAAAAAATAAGACTTAAGTCTTTCCTTCTAACGAGGAAACATTTTCAGAAATTATTTCCGAAAAATCCAAAAAAAATTTCTTCCCAAAAATTGAAGTTTATATAGCTATTATAAAAATCGATGGGTAAAATCTAGCAATACAATGAGATTTGGGATATAGTGTAGTGTACCGGTGGTAAAAGTTCGGGACGTGACATATGTCATTCGATTCGTCTCGACGAGCTGAGTCGAATGGTACCACTCCCTACTTTAGGAAATGATTCTGGGCCGAGTTATAGGTCCCGAAAAATTGAAAAACCATAGGGGGGAGTAAGCTCGATTTTGGGGTGAAAAATTCGAATATGCAAATAATAGCTCATTCGAAAGAGCTCGTCGAGCTGAGTCGAATGACACCAAAATCAGCTTGATTGTAAAAGTTTGGACAAAGTTACAATCGAAAAACTAACAGCATAAACCTATGGGGCGTCGGCGAGGCGCTTGTGCAAAACCCCGCGCTTCGCGCGGGGTTTTGCGGCACGCGCCTCGCGGGGAGTCTACGGGCGTTGGGTCTGGGCTCGTAACATAAACCTAGTCCCATCTCCCTTTCTCTGGATGTACTTGGGGCTCCAGTACCAGCAAAAACCTTCACGGGCGCCATAGGTAAGGAGCTAAAACAAACGAGCATAACTTTGTCAATTCAAGTCAGATTTCGTTGATTTTGGTGTCATTCGACTCGGCTCGACGAGCTCTTTCGAATGAGGTATAATTTGCATTTTCGAAATTTTTACCCCAAAAAAGTGCTTGGTCCCCCCTTTGGTTTTTCAATTTTTCGGGACCTATAACTCGGCCCAGAATCATTTCCTAAACTAGGGAGTGGTACCATTCGACTCAGCTCGTCGAGACAAATCGAATGACATATGTCACATCCCGAACTTTTACCACCGGTACACTACACTACAGCCGAGATTTGAAACACAATATACATATTTTATAAAATATTTATAAAGTACTTGTAACCAAAAACATGTATTATTAAGAAATTCAAAACGACAAAAATATTCTTTTTTTTAAAAACAAAGAAAAAATAATTTTTTAAGACATAGGAGTAAGAGCGAAAACCATGCAACCTTTGAAATGCCAAAATAGAAAATTGAGGAACTCAATAACCCGTAAAAATAAGCTTTTATTTTTTCCCCTTAAAGGTTGCACTAATTTTAATATCAAATATCTAAACAATCACGCATATATAAAAAATTGATATGAGCAGGCACAAGCATTGTCTGTTGAGCAAACATCATTCATAAAAACTCATTTATATCTTCATGGAGAACACCATCGTAAGGAACTCCTCATAATCTGAAAAAAAAATAATGGATTCCAATTGTAAAATATAATCTTACGAATCCGAATCCAGCCATCACGATCAGAATCTTTTTCGCGAAATGCAGCAGTGAGCGTTTGAAGAACAACACAAAGCTGAATAAAATCGTCGAAATTGACCCTTCCTTATGTAAGAAAAGCAATTATAACCAAGAAAAATGTAGAATTAAACCTGAATGAGTACGATCAAACTTTTGCATAAGCATATCATAGAATGGCCCCGAGAGACGATAACCTGCAAAGAAACTAAACTAACAACCAGTCAAATGATAAACTCATACCAAATTGTGTCAACGCAGACATTAGCTCACCGCGATCAATATTCCCAGAATTATCTCGATCAAACGTACGGAAGGTGCGACTCCAGTCGTTGACATACTGAAAATGCAAAAAAGTATTGATAATCCAAAAATAACTAAATTTACATTCCAAAGAGCTTGAAACTCATTGAAGCTGATTCCACCATCATTGTCGGAGTCAAACATAGAAATCATAATACGGCAAGTTTCAGGATTGAATGGCCTCCAAGTCCCATTAGACAGCGCCCTCTGTAACTCATCAGAACTAATTCGACCTGAACGATCAGTGTCAACAGTTTGAAAGATTTGTAACAGATTGGGCTGTTGTGGAGAATACATTAATCTACTACTTCCTGTTTTATTAAACCACTTAAAAACCTTAATTAAAAAAAACAAGCAACGCATATTAATCATCAATGTAGGAGTAAAACAAAAGCCCCCACAACCTTATGAACCGCGAGAAACAAAACAAACAATGTCATCATAAGTTTATGGCTTAGGACAAAAGGTCGAATACTAGAAAGATCGTTTACTTAAAAGATCTATCTGGCCAACTGCATAAAAACGTCGACGCATTGGCAAACCTAAAAAGATCGTTCCGGGTAAAATGGGACAATACGTCGACCTTAAAAAGAACTGCAGAAAAGACAGCTGACCTCGAAAAATTTCACTTTTAAAAGAAATACTGACAATAAGAAATATTGTTATCATCTTAAAAACGTGAAAATTCGGGATTATATTGTGAATTGTATCGTCGATCTCTATCCTTGTTCAAGTGCACCATCTTATCAATACTTTCCTCAACATCATCTTTATTTTCCTGTTTAGTGAGCATTATAACGCGTTGTTGCTCTCGACGTTCCCTAGCCAAGCGTTCTTGCCGAAGAAGATTAATCTCAACACAGGGCTGAGCTGATGTTGATGAGCCGGAAATCGTAAAATAATTTTAAAAATTTTAGACAAAAAAAACAAACCATACTCGATTCCTTTTATTTTACTCTTCCGCTTCTTTTTCTTGTCCTTCTTAAGTTTTATAGCCTTTCGTTCTTCACTAGTCAAAAACTTCTTTTCACTCTTTGAAACTTTTGAAGGCTTTTTATCATGTTCACGCATTAAGGGTATTCCTTCCCACCATTCATTGTCCTTTGAATATTCTTTTGTATCCTCGGCAAAACGCTTCATGATCCCTAAAATCATGTTTTATTTTAATTTCCCATTTTATAATCATACCAACTTTTGACTCCCAATCATCTTGTTCCTTCTTTTTTTCAGCAGCATATTCCTTGTTGCCATTTGCAAAATTTTTGCGTTCTTGTTCCTCCAATTCTTTAAATAAATTTACATGATGTTCATTGCTTGCACTAGTACTAGATGATGTTCCACCCATAACATCTTTTGAATCACCACGCACACCTAATTTTACAAAATTAACTAACATAATTTGGCTCTTGTCCAGATTACGCGTCCAATCCAACATCCAATGCTTCCAGTCAAATTTTATGCGTCAAATCAAAGGTGCCATGTACATTGTTTTTCACTTTAGTACAATGAAATCTATGTGAATATAAAGCTCTACTCACACATTGCTTTTGGACGCGTCATGTGGACAAGAGCAAAAAACAAAAATAAAAACTAACCAAAAATATCTTTAACACTTTCTACATCTGATGTATTGCCAATGTTCTTCGATCTTAAGCGTTGAATACGATCCTTAAATTTTGTTTGATAAAATTAGTTCAGCTAAAAATAAACCTCATGATCAGCAAGTTCTGCTTTTTCAGCCCGTGCTTTCTCCTCTTCTGCTGCTTTTGCTTCATCTCTTCTTACTCTGGCTACATTTTCTTTTGTACGTACATGCCATTTTTTATGACGCAGAATGTTCATTGCTCTCTATTATAATTTAAAAAGTTTTTTTTTTTAATTTTAAAAGAAATAATATGTAAAGCAAAAATTGAAGCTGTTAGACAAAAATCGAAATATTTTCTTTAAATATTTATGCTGTATATTATAAATGGAGGGATAAGACACAAAAAAGGAGTGGGAATTTTTTGAGTGGGAATTTTTGAGTGGAAGTGGGAATTTTTGAGTTTTTTCCAAGCCAGAGTGGGAACTTTTGGGGATTTTCCAAGTTTCCCAAGCATTCCTGATTGGTATATCTTCCGAAAAAAATTTATTTCAATTTTCCCTAGCCAAAGATTTTCCGAAATTACAAAGGCTCCAAAATTTCGATTTTCTTCATTTTTTCGAGTTATCATAAAATATCAACTAGTTTACACTTTGACATTTTCCAATTTGAAAATTAACATAATGAAATGCGTTAATTTTCTGTTCAAATTTATTTGGCGTCACTTTTTTTCTGAAATCTGGATTATTCCAGATTTTTGTTAATCTCCGGAGATTACGCTTTTTTCTTGTTTTTTTTTCATTTTTTTCTATTATTCATCTGTTTTTTTTATTTTATTCGTTTATTCGTTGACCCCAATGCAGCGCGCGCTTAAAATTGCTAAATAATAAATTTAAAAATTTTTTACAAAGTCTAAATTTTTTTTAAATTGAAGGCCAGCTCCCGACAACTGGACATGCTCCTTCTGGATGGCTGGCCGGTTAAATTCATTTTTTTTCTTTTTTTAATTTGAGTTTGAAAATTTTTTAATTTGTTAGGCGTTGCAGTGCTCTACATGGTGGCCGTGGCTGGATGTGTGGTGGCCCTGTCTGGATGGCTTCAACCAAACGGTGGGTTTTTTCCTAGTTTATTTTGAACTTTTAAATTTAAAAATGAATTTTTTTTATTTTTATGTATGTTCTTCATGTGGTGGCCTTTGGAGAATATGCTAATGGTCTTCATGGTGGTGGTCTGGGGGCCTGTTTTTTTTATTAAAAAAATTTTTTATTTTTTTAAAAAAGTTATGCTTGTGGTGGTGGTTTGGTGGCTCTCGTCTTGCTTTTGGTGGTTGGTGGCTCTTCATGCTCTTGGTGGTTGGTGGCTCTCTTCATGCTCTTGGTGGTTGGTGGCCCTCTTCATGCTTTTGGTGGCCTGCTTGTGATGTGATGTTGGAATATGGTCGGGTGTGGTTTTTTTATTAAAAAATAAAAAAATTAAAATTTATAATGGGAGGGGGTGATTTTCAGCCAGGTCCGTTCTACTCCATGCACTGGTGGTGGTCGTCGTCTACATGCTCTTTCTCGTCAACCCTTGGCCCGGTAAATCTTCAAATTTTTTAATTGAAAAATTGCTTGCTAAAAATGCGCGAGCGAATGACCCCACCATTTCTTCATTTTCTTGTTTCTTGTCTTTGTCTTTTTTTGTCTTTGTTTTTTTTCAATTTTCTTTATTTCAAGAAATTTTATAAAGTTTTAGCTCAACCAGTGGTATGGATGGTATGGACAAAGCAGAATGTGCTCCATTGGATGGAACCAGTTTTTGGAGGTTTTTAGCTTAATGGGGGAAGGGGAAATTTTACGGGGAAAAGCCTGCAGAAGGCTAGAGGGGTGATTATTGATTTTCGTTACCGATCTCTCTGTTGTGTTTTTATCGATTTTATTTTTGGCATTCTGTTTATTGTCAATTCATCCCATTTAAATTAGGTACATTTGAGTCTTACACAAATTCATCTTCAACAACTTTTTTCTTCGTTTACCTTGACCCATTTTTTAACTCCGATCGAGATCATTTATGTTAATTCTACGCGTATTTCAACATTTTCAACAGATTTTGATTGATTTTTAACTTTTGCTTGTCTAATTACTTAATTTTTCAGATTTTAACATTAACCTCTTTTAATTACTAAAATGATTACTCTTTTAATTACTCCAACTTTAAATTCTACTAATCAATTTGCTACCAGTTTTGCCTCTCATTTACTTAAAGCTGGTCGTTCAACTAATGAGAACACTCAACTTTTTGCTTTGGTTTCGCCTAAAGATGGAACGAAGATTTCAAAATCGCTGGAACCTTATCTTGATGGAGGACAACTCAACATTTTGTTTGGCTCTTGTAATTCTCAAAAGATTGTTAAGAGAGTTGTCGAGGTTAATGAGGTTTGTGATTCAAGTTGGGTATTGTTTAGGGTCCATAAAAGCTTCCGGGATTGCCCTGTTAGTCTCTGGTTAGCCTTATCCCATAAGATTCAAGACAGGGTACTTTAGCTTCCGGGATTGATTCGGTTGCTTTCTCTGGTTTCTCTGTTAGATAAGATTTAAGACAGTGTCTTCCAAGAATCTTCCGAGAATGCCCGTTTGTCTTTGGTTAGCCTTATGCCATAAGATTCAAGACCATATACTTCAGGTTCCGGAGACGGCCCGTTTGTCTTCTCTGGTTTTTCTGTGAGTTATGATTCAGGACCGGGTACTTCAGGGTTCGTAATTGGCCCGTTTGTCTTCTCTAGGTTCTCAGTGAGTTAAGGTTCAAGACCATATACTTCAGGTTCCGGGACGGCCCGTTTGTCTTCTCTTGTTTCTCTGTGGGACAAGATTCAAGAACGAGTACTTCAGATTCCGCGGGAGGCCTGTTTGTCTTCTTTGGGTTCCTCTGTGGGATAAGATTCAAGACCATATACTTCGGGTTCCGGGGACGACCCGTTTGTCTTCTCTGGTTTCCTTGAGATAAGATCTAAGATCGTGTTACTTCAGTCATGACTCAAGTGAGTAATTTTGGTTTTTTTCCGAAATAATATGCCATTTAAAACTCTATTTTTAGACTTAAGAAAACTTCTCCAACCGCTTATTGTGACTGCTGGGAAAAATGCGAATGTAAAGCGTTGGTAACTGGAAATAATGCAAAGAGGGAACAATTGCTTTCTGGTTTTTTTAAATTTTTTTTAAAACTATTATTATTTATTAGGAATGTTACAATGCCCTGCATTGATTGATGGTCTTAATTCTAAAGGAGAACACATTTTACTCTTTTTGGCTCGCACTGTTGGTCGTCAGGTTTTCAATAAATTTTTGTTTATTTAAAATGTTTAATTCATCAATAGTTAATAGAACAAGAAGGCTATACGAAACGTAGTAAGCGCCCTGGACCTACTATCACGACTACAGCATATGGCGTTCCCATTCCTGAACATGATCTTGAACTCCCAAAATTTGCTAGAAAAGGTTTTTTTAATTTAATATGTTCAAATTTTGATTATAATTTTTAGCACTTGATTTGGCAATAGGAGATTGGTGGAGCGTGCTAGCGATGATGATATGTCAAGTATATATATTTTTTATCAGCTTCTTTTAATTTTTTCCCCAAATTAGATGAAGATGATGACGATGAAGAAGATTTGGATGCGCCAGCAACAATTTCTAGAACTCGTGAAAACAGCAATACTTCATTTAGTGCTTGTTAAAGGACAATCTCTGAGCTGAGCGACGTCGTCAAGAAAATGCTACTGGTCTAGATGAGAGTTTGGATGAACATGAAGGGGTTTGTTTAGTTGTGCTTATTTTTTAAAAATTTTTTATTGTTAGGAAGATGCGTATGGAAGTGATCACGATGATATTGATGATGATGACGACTACCACCACTTCAACCACCACAAATCCTACTCACAAACTCAGATAGCTGTTAGTGCTTCTGAACCTTCAGCTCATGTTGGTGCTACCACCACTTCAACCACCACAAATCCTACAGCTAATAATAATGCCGCTGATGGTTCTCGTCGAGGTGGAATGGGATGGGGTGAAGTAATTATGGATGAAAATGCTTGGGGTCGTAGTAACAACAATAATGTGTTTGGCAGTGGAACATCTGCTACCCAAAGGTAAGACTTTGATGAGACAAATTAATCTAATTAAGTTCTTTCAGACCTAATGATCCTCGTTCAACTGTTCTTCATCCCACAACGCTAATTCAACAACACCATCAATTTCTGCTAATGATTCTGTGACTTTGGGCAGTTCTGGTGCTACATCATTACCTTTAGCTGCTCAACCAGTTGTCGCTGCTGATAACACTGTTGTAGCAAATTTGGGGGATAATAGTGACTTTTCTACAAGTAATTCAAGTACACAATTATCTGCTTGTTTTCGGTTTGTTTTTCTTTTTAATTTTTTCCTGATTTTCTTACTTATTTTTTATTTTTAGACAATTGTCAAATTGATCGATGAATTACTCTTGCAATTATCTTTTTATGAAGTTGGAAACAACAAGGCAATAAGTCAAAAGGAGTCACCAACTTACTTGATTTGGATCCAAAGATTTTTGGCGTTTTTAAGGTTTGACTTTCTTTTTACTGTTTGAATATTTCATGTTTTTTTAATTGTAGGATGCATTTGATGATTGTTTAGATTCAACATGGAATTGGTTCTTTTCAATTATGGACAAGTTAGTTTTCGTTTCTTTTTTGGAATATTTCTCTTTTTAAAGAACTGAAGCGCAGCTACGCCACTGAAATGCTTTAATGAACTCGTCAGTGGGTCGTCTTCTAAATTTAAACTGCTACAAATGATGGTGATCCGTGGGGCAGAGGATGTTATCTGATGGCTCTGGAACTTCAACAGCTACACCAAAACAAAATTTTCTTGCGAGAAGTGTTAAAAATGTGCATTTGACTGCAACAAATTGATGATGAATTACAAAGACGAGAGAAGCTAAAAAATGTGGCAAAGATGCTACTGCCACATTTAAAGGTCGATATTTAAATGAAATATGTTTTTTATTATTTTTTAGTGCTTTTCCGTTTGCGTCGAATTTTTTTTTGTTTTATTTTTTTCAAGTACAAAATGTTTTAAAACAGCAGGATTCTTAGATGGAAAAACGGAAAAGCACAATTAAGCCACTTGTAAAAAAAGGATTTTTGCGGATTCGTTTAGAAGAAAGCAAAAAGGCCTTTTCTTTACAAGTGGCATTTTTTTATCACATTATTTTTTTGTTGGTTAAAAATGTGTTTGGGTGGGCTCCCCTCTACCTACCCCGGGTTTACCCAACTCTTTCAAGCTCCGAGAGCTTCAGATTCCTAAACTCCAAAACAATCCAACAAGACAACCACTTTTTTCTAAAAATTTGAACTTTTTTTCGAACGAAACTCCCAGATGAATTCCAGACCAGGCTTTCATACCTCCGAGTTATATCCAAAGGCACGGGTTCTTATTCAATAGGTGTAGACAGTAGGGCACTTAGACCTTAGATTAGATTAGAACCCCCCCCCTTCCTGCACTTCAACGGCTCGTCTACAACTTCAACTGCTCCTGCCAGCCGTCTACAACTTCAACTGCTCCTGCCAGCCGTCTACAACTTCAACTGCTCCTGCCGGACTTCTACAACTTCAACTGCACCTGCCAGCCGTCTACAACTTCAACTGCTCCTGCCAGACGTCTACAACTTCTCCTGCACCGACTCTAGTGTACCCTGGGCCCCGACACGGTACTCCAATGAACCCCCGGGTCCAAGATGGTGCTCTACTGTCTATACCCATTTTATAAGACCCCTGTCTTCCACCTATCCCAAGTCTGACCCAAATGTCACTCCCCAACATGCCCCGGACAAAACGTCACTCCCCAATTCGTCCCCGGACAAAATGTCACTCCCCAAAATGCCCCGGACAAAATGCCCCGGACAAAACGTCACTCCCTAAAATGCCCAGGACAAAACGTCACTCCCCAAAATGCCCCGGATAAAACGTCACTCCCCAATTCGCCCCGGACAAAACGTCACTCCCAACATGCCCTGGACAAAACGTCACTCCCCAACATGCCCCGGACAAAACGTCACTCCCAAAATGCCCCACACTGAAAATAACCCGCACTGAAAATCCCGCACTGAGCTGACCGACCCCCCTTCTCAAAAAATATTCTCTCCATAGGTTCAGGCTTTCATACCTCCGAGTTATATCCAAAGGCACGGGTTC